ATCTGCCTTAGGAAGGGTCATGCTAAGCCAACCAAAGACAATTAATTATCCATACCTTCAATAGTGTCTGTAAGTAAGTTTCATACCAGTTACTTCCTACATAAACTTTCACAATCTGATGCAGTGAGCATGCTGACACTTCTGCCCTCCAGTCTGCATCTAGAGATGGAGTAACAAATGGAAAGGTGACAACTAAAATAACTGTCAGTAGTAACTTTAGATCTATAACAAAATAATTTAAAAAATAATGGATTTTGCATCAAAACAATGTAAATAGCAAGAATTATCTGAAATAGTGAGGTAATAGAGCACGCTGTGTACATAGAGCTGCAACTCTCATGCTTCTTTGCTCATACACAACCACGAGGAAATAACAGGTGAGGATGTAATGTCAGAATAGTGGACAACTTGGTCCATCCACTGCTGCAGCCAAACCACCTCTCCTCTAAACCTGAAGATAATAATAAGAAGGCTGCGTACATTAGCATAGTCTCGATAACTCAACAGTTTTATCACCTAAGGTAGGTGAGCCTAAGTACACTCTTACATTGTCATGGAAAGTAATGAATTATTTCCAGATTACTGGGAACAAAGGAAAAAAAATGAAAGGTCTTTGAAAGCGAAAACTCAGCTTGTCAGCAAGTGTAAAGCTAGTGGAAAGTCAGGGCAAGCTGGAATACCAGAGCCTTGCCCGTCTTGGCAAGGAGCCTCACTCCTTATTTTCTTTGAAGATGATGTTATCATGGCAGGTGCAAACCTCAAACAGCTTGTATATGCAGAGGGCAGATATAACCCAACAGCTTTGGATACATTTCAGTCTGGGATCAGACCACATCCCACCTTAGTGTGGAAACAAAGATGTGGGAAAGCTCCTGTTGAAATCCTTACCAATATAGTTAATCTTATTGTTTTAGTTAGTAATTCCCATGACTCTCTGCTTTAGGAAAAATCAAAATCTTTGCATTCAAATGGAATAGTTAAAAACAGATGAATAATAATAATAAAAAACTTTGGAAAGGGCCCCAACATGGAGAATTTTATTTCTTACAAGAACCCAGGCCTTTACAGAAGATAAAAGTAAGCCACACTCTTAAAGGAATGATATATGGGGCTATAGGTAATGACATAAATAGATTCTAGGGTTCTCTAAATAATGAACAAACTAGAACATGCTTGTCTTGTACAGCTACTGCAGTGGGACTTCTGCATGGAAGGGCAGGGAGGAATGTCAAACATCAGCCCTGTCACCTTGTTCTGGTGAAAATTGCTGATGGCTCAAAACTGGCAGGACAAACAACCCCTACAGGAAAACAGAGGGCCCTGACAGTGGAGTAAGCTGGAAGTAAGGTCACTGCTACCACATAAGTCAAACTTCCAAATAAACCACAACAAGTACATTTAGAATCCTACAAGCTGAAGTTTGAGCCAGGAGGAAAGGATTATTGACTGATTAATTGCATCCAGGCAATAATCCTCAGTCTGCTCTAAAACAAAAGACTTCAAGACTTTTTGAAAAAAATCTTGACTTACTGTAATCTCTGCTCCCTGATGGCATCTGTTGCTTCAGATAGCATTTTAAAGCATCTTTCATCGGCTCATATGTGCTGTCCATTTTGTCCAAATAAGCACAGAGCTCTTGGATTTCAGAAATATTTTCAGTGAGAGGAAGTTGGCAAGTTCCCAACCAATTTCTATCCAAAAGAAGTAGAAATCACATTTTCTTTTTATTTTTATATTTCTACTACTTATTTTTATTGAGTAAAAGTCAGTAAATACAAATTTTCCTAAATGTTTTTTACACCTACTGATCTCGTAACTTTTTTTTTTCATGAATTGAGAGCCCTGAACAATCCACAGTAGATCTGGAGCCATCAAATAATGATCTGATATGGCTTTGATTAAAGGTTTTAATATGTTATTTCTCCGACACTGCATCATTAACCAGTGACAACAGCAAGTGCACACAAATGCTAGGGGCAGAGATGAGCTGATTACGTGTTTTATCTTCCTGTCACCTTTCTGTGACCCTTTAGATTTTAGGGGTAGTGTGTGTTTGTGCTACATTGTCTAAGCAAGAGTGCTACCAGCATGGAGATTTCACATGTAGAATCCAGACATCTACATTCTTTGTTGGAATGAGCAAAGTGGTACAACTTTTCTGTGACTTTAAAAAACAAACAAACAAACAAACAAACAAACAACAAAAAAACACAACTGTACCCATAGCCATTGAGGTGCTTTTGAAAATTCCCTACAAGGAATAGTATGTGTTAAGAACGTGTTATCACTTAAAAATAACTAATAATATTAAGTTTTAGGGATGTTATCGCCTGAAAATAAATGATGATAATAAAAAAATCCCCGTATCGCTTTGGAATTTGAGGCTTATCAGCCTGCAATATAACAGAAGGACATGATTGCTCCTGTAATTGCAGTTATGTGCGAGCTGAGTTAATGATCACCGTGATTTCCAAAGGTCGGACTCATGGGAAGAGCACCCGGTTTTGGCTCCAAAGATGCCCACCGCTCCCCCAGCGCCGGGGCGACCCCCGGGGGGCTGCCTGCCGCCTACCTGGCGTGCTGGAAGAGGCTGCCGGTGCCGCAGACGTGGAGCCGCCGCCTGTCGCCGCTCATGCGGAGCTGTCCGAGGACTGAGTCGGGATATCGCGACAGCAGCCCCAACGCCAGGCAGAAGAGGGGCGCCCACCGCCCCACCGCGCCCCGCCGCCTGCCAGCGCCTCTCCCCACCGCGCCGCTGCCTGCCAACCAAGGAGATGCACGAGGGGTGTCAGGTCCCAATCAGGCACTGATTGATAATTGCAACCCTATTTCCCACCCTTCCTAAGGCGACTTCGCTGGATTTTCTTTCTTGTACGTGGTGGATTTAAGGTTATCGTTGTGAAATGGGGTGTTTGGAACAGGAATGGTGGCAATAGGTCCAACAGCAAGCCACCACAGAAGCACAGAATTTAGCCTGGAAGGAGGTCCTTCCTCCTGGGTGCACCTCTAGGGTGCGCCAGGGACACATCAGAATATCTTCTGAGATCTCCAAGGAAGGAGACTCCAAAGCCCCTGAGCAGCCTGTTCCAATGTGCATTATGTTACCTCTATGGATAATAAGCTATAGTACCTCTATAGATCCTCAAAGCATCTATAAGTTCAGGAATTCCCAGAAGTAAAACTTCTTCCTCCAAGACATCGATGCTGGAGAAGTCATCGGGCAACAAGAGCTTCTCTGAGCGGAGAAAGTTAACTTGAAAATAAAAATAAAATATTGGAAGTGTGTTGGCATCCGCTGTCCAGTGCTCAGATCTAGCAAAAACAGTTTTTTGCAACTTCCCTTGGTGTTACTATTCACACTTAGACACACATGCAGCAGATAATAAATCTGCACCAGGAAATACTGCCTTTGAAACAAAATCCTGAAAACTAGGTTTGTGCCAGGAGGAGACCTGATACAGCATAAATGACAGGGTAAGCACAGAATCAGGCTAGCTTTGTTTATCAGAGCAGCCTAAGAAATTCTTGTAAGAGGTTTCCTGTTTGTTTGGCTGATTCTTTTCCCTGGGCACAGCCCCCTCCCAATGCGTACTTAAACGTGTTTTCCCATATGCTAACATCAGAGTTTATCCATAGAACTAGCAGAGCAAAGCTCCAGCAATTTATTTTCTCATGTTGACTGAGCCCTCTGAGGATGAAATACTATTCTGATGGAGGATTTATGTGGTTCTTTCATACTTCTGAGATGTACTTGTCTTTTTTTGAAAGTGGAGTACTATTTCATGAACAAATGACATTTTTTTTTGCTAGCAAAAAAGATACAAGAGTGGGTGAACATTTAGAGTCACTACGTTAAGTTTTATCTTTCTTAATTACCAGTTGTCAACAGCAGTTCTGGTCCTTGATGCCATTAATACATTTCAGTTCAGAAAACCATTGGATTAGTAAAGACAAATAAGTAGGACCATGAAGCAGGTAGTTTTAGGTACATGTACTCTGGAAGCCACTTGGTAGATGCTTTGCTTGTTAGTTGTAAACAGAGCAGTAAAACTAAACCAACAAAAAAAGAAAAAGAAAAATAAAATATTCTGATTTTTAAAGAAGTATTACTGAAGATGGATAGAAATAGTTTAATTAAAATGATTTAGACATGTCATAATAATAATTTAAAAAAGAATAGTTACCTATGAAACGGAACTCACTGCATCCACATTCAATCAGGACTGCATTCTCAAGCAGCCACAGCAAATTGTCATCATTAACTAGCACAGGATATTTTCTCACTAAATCTAGTGGCAAAAAACAGTAATTCACTTCTTCTTCTGTATCAAGTAAAGGTGTATCCACTAGCCCTAGGGGAGCACTTTCATGTAAACCTAGGCAAAGAAAGTTGCAGAAAAATCAATAGATAAATAAAGAAAAATGGAATTCAAATGACCTGGCTCTAGTACAGCAAAGCTAATAAAAGTGCATTAACTTTGTGCAACACTTAACATTCCCCCCAAAATAGTGTCATAGCTACATGCTAGCCCAGCACAAATCAATAAAATATTTGTGTGGTGTTTCTTATTTATTTAAATAATGATGAATACAGGAAGAAAAGATGACAAGAAAACCTTTTCAAAACTCTAAAATAGTTCCTGGCTTGCAACAAACTAACAGTTTATGGACAATCCTAAGGATGCAAAAGAATTATCAAGCCCCAAATATGAAATTTCCTGCACAAAGAGTGAGAAAGAGCCTGTTGAAGATGAAAACACCCTATCAAGAGTGATATGATCAAGATGTGATCAAACATCTGGAAAATGATGCGCAAAAATAGGGCAAGAAATTTAAATCCTTCTAGTGTTTCTGTAACCAAAAATTCTGAACTGGTCCAAATGCAAGCACACATCTACAACTAGAGGTAACCCTGCCAAGGCATCTGAGTGATAAAAGCACTCGCTGCACTTGACAGAACCCTGGAAAAGGGTCTGGAACACTTACCTGTGAATGCTTTTATTTTGGGAGAAACCTCTGAGGGCTTGCTGGTACTTTTTCGCGTTCTCCAGTAACTCGGAGATGTTCTTTGAGCTACTGGTATATCGGCAGGTCGGACACATAAATCATGTTTCTCCTCCTTCGAATTATCTAAGATCTGTTAAAATACATACATTTTTTTCTGTTTAGTATTTCAACTCAAATAATTAACAAAAAAAAAATAAAAATAGACATGGGAAAGAACTTAATCCATGCTGCCATGCCATAGTTGACATCCATATGTCATGGAATACTGGTACATGGACAAGAATAAGCATACATTTAGATTCCTGATTTTTAGATACCTAAAAGTACCTGGAATGAATGTGTGAGGAATATTGCATGTGTAATATAAATAATTTATATATTCAAAAAAAGCCAATTCTTTTTGCAGCATTTGAGTTCTGATGGTAATTCTTTGTATTCTGGCTCTGGAATTCAAGACAGAACATTACATGTGTAAAGGTACACAACAGAAAAAGACAAAAACACAGCAGTAAGCTCTTTTTAAATAACATTTTTACCATAAGATGAAGGAATTCAATGATTATAAGAGGCAGTTGATGTTTGGCTCAATTATAGTAATTGTTAACAGACTATTTTCCTAATCTTTTATGGAATGATAAATTATTTTAAACCTGGAACAAATGGTTACACATACTTCTGTAGGCTATTAAATATGAAGTAAATTTAGAGCTACAGTTACGACTACTAAAGCACAGATGTAATATACCTTCATGAAATTAATAATGTTGCACTGACAATCACTTAAAAGCCAGAAACTTCAAGAATTCTAGTTCAGTGAAGCGTGTTCCTGGCCATACCACAGTAGCTCCATGTTAAATATGTGATTGTGTACTGTTTGTTAACACAACAGACTACTGAGGTTTGGTGGTCTTCCTCTCCCAACCTATTTGGAGATGTTACATCTTTAAATACGGTCCTAAAAAAAAAATAAAATAAAAAATCCAAAAATGTTAATGTTAAACCCAAAATGCTAACATTTTGGGCTAAAAATGTTAAACATTATAGTATTTTTGAGAGAACTTGATAAATAGTACAAAAAAAAAAAAAAAGGAAAAAAAATAAAAGAAATTCAGAGTTTAAACTTAGAGGAAATGCAAATACTAACACATGAAAATACACAGTTCATCCATGGAGGAAGTATGGACTCAGCCTTCACTGATACAATTCAAAATCACAATTCAATTTCAATACATAATTCTTGTAGATAAGCAGTAAATTGAACATTAAAATCTCCATTTAATATGTCTATTTATGCAACTACAGAATAGGAGGAGAGGAAGAAGTATTATTTCCCTGTTTGAACAATGAATTCAGTGACGTCCTACTGGGATGAATTTCTTTTCTGGCAAACTGAACCTTTTCAGGGAACAACAGAATGGGTGGTAATCCCACTTATTTTTTATTTTATTTTTTTTCAGATTAGAGGGTTCATATTCAACAAGACTGGTCAATATAATTGTTATAAAATGCTGAGCATAGCTGTCGGTGGATAAAAGCCTCTGCTTGCTTTAATTTTAGCAAATAAACAAGTAATAAAAGTTGAATGAGCCCTGACAGAAAGGTCAAGCATCAAATGTGGAACATTGTCCGTATTCACTGTCCATGACAGACAAATTGAATGCCAAAACTACTTGTTGGATAACTACTGCAAACATTGTTAAAATCATACATGTAAAGTATCCTTGACATCCTTTTACAGTGAGTATTATCAAAGAATAACAAATATATATATATATATATATAGAGAGAGAGAGAGAGAGAAAGAAGAACTACATAGAATTCCCCACTTTACCTGTACTAGAGGTGTCAGCTGAAAAATTAATGCTTGCTCATATAATAAATTAAATTCATCACAGCTGAAAAAAGATACTTTTGAAGTCTGCATGTAATAGTGAAGGTGCCTAAATATAAAACCATCGTGGTCAATAAATAATCTTAGATTTTCAGACTGGTCTTGTACAGCAGCTGCTTTCCATAATGGAGATTCAGGAAATTGAGCGACTTTACTTTTGGGAATTGAGAAATACCAGCCACCAACATTAAAATTAATTGACTCTTCTTCTGCAGATTCAATAATATTCTCTGGTTCCTTCAAAAGAAAAGGAAAACATATCAAGAGGCAAGAATGAACCTGTGAATTCTGCAAGAAAGAAAAAAAAAAAAGGCCATTTTATTTTAAAACTCCATTGGACCTTGCATTTTATTTCCCTCCTGTGGAAGCATCCACACCATATGTTTTGAAGCAGCTCATCAAAAAATTAAGTATGGGGCAAATGCCCAAGGGCTTTACATTCTTAATCATTTGTGCATGCATATTCCTTAGTTAATATGGATTGAGGGATGTGAAAAGTTAACAAATTGCATGCTTTTATACAGTTAAACCTTAGAACAACCTGGTCTACAACTGAAATACAACACACGTCTTCTTTAAATTTACAAATAAAATGAACTACATTTCAGGCAGAAAACTTCTTGATTGTTACAATTTGTATTCGGGTTTGAACCAACTCCAGCTAAGTAAGCTACAGTAATTTTGTTATGACAAGACAGTAATAAAACACAAATAAATGCTTGTATACCCTCCCACACTACTCCGAGCAGCAGGAAGGAAACACAGTTATTGGTCTGCGGCCAACTGTTTCTTGTTGTTGTATCACACTGAGATGTATTAGTCTGTGGCTTACAAAAACAGAATTCAAGCCTGAAAACAAAAGCAGCCTGCACTCCTTAGCCACAGTGGCTAGCCTGGAAAGCCAAGGAGACAGTGTTTGTGTTGACAATGGAGGATGCGATTCTTGCAGCAGGAACAAGTGGGGGAAAATAGGTGGTATTTTTAGGCTATTTCTCATTCAAGCAGCTACAGACAGGGAGTCAAAAGGAAATCTGGAAAAGGACGGGGAAAAAAATAACTGTTATTGAACGTAGGAACTGTAGCTTCTTGAGGGAGCTGCAAATCAAAGCTGAAGGTGCTGCTGGTGGTCACTGTGGCAATGCTGCAGAACCACAGTTACGCTGGCCTCAAAGTGCTCTTAGCCTTGGCTTTTCACAGGTGTTCTCAGCTTCGTAACGCTGATAGCACCTGGCAATTTCAAATCTAATATTTGCGGAGAAAACGTGAAAGATCTGGCCAAGCAAGAAAGATGAAAACTAGTTTTAAAAAGTGGCCAAAACCTGGGTATTTCTAAGGCTCATTCCCAGCATTTAGGGGCAGCAGCAAACAGCACACACCGCTGCTCCCAGCTCCCTCATGAGGGCTCTGGTGGCCAGCAGGACCTCGGGCTGATCTTGCTCACGAAACCAGCAAGAAGTGATCCATCTGGGGTGCCGCTATAGGATTTTTTGTCCCCACCCCATCTTTCACCATCACCTCCCCACTGCCAGCCCCTCTCAGGCCGCTTCCTCCAGCCAGCCCCCGATGCCCACGGGCCGGCTGCCAGCTGGGGGCCGACCGAGGAACGAGGACCGAGCCCCCCGGCCCCCCACAAGCAGCCTCGGGGCTGGCTGAGGGAAGCGGAGCCTCCCCCGGCCCTGCCCCTACCATGGCGGCCGCGCCTCAGCCGCCGGTGCCGGGCAACGGCCGGGAGGGCAACGGGCGAGGCCTGCGGCGGGAGCGCCCCGGGCTCCAGGCAGGTACCGGCCGGGCTGGGGGACGGGGTGTGAGGGGTCTGGAGCCCCCTTGTGCCATATGGGGCCGGGAATGCTGGCAGTGGGGGCGTGTAGGGCTGCCCTGGCTGTGGGACCGCAGCCCTTGGTGCTCCTCGACAAAAAGCAAGCCGCAATCCTGTTGCTACCATTGCTAACCACAAGATATGCGTACACAAGGAACTTTAAAGTAGCGCTTGTACCATGAAGCACGATGAAAAGACCACCCGAAATATAAAGGGGCCCCAAAGGGATTTTGTTTTACCCTCGGTGGTCTCTGATCTAATGCTAAATTACGGCTGCGAAGATAGGTTAAAGGGTGAAGAGCCAGAACAGGTTGCTGCTGCTGCGCCCAGAGCTGCCTCGGTTCAGCAGGGGAAGAAATTCTGCGTTATTTGACCCCCAAAATGAGACAGCTGAATACAAAAGGCACCAGGACAAGTCTATAAAATAAAAGGCTGTTATCTCTACAAAGCTGCACCTCAGTTTCTTTTCCGTTTCCTCAATTACTGCTGAAAATGATGATTTAAACATTACTTGGTGGTGGTGGTGTTTTTCCCCAGTGGCATTATATATTCCAAATCCAGAAGTGATTCAGGAGCAAGGACACTTGGTTTTATTTAAGTCCATGAAAGCAAATCTCCTTAGAAACTGTTAGTGTTTCTACACCTGGTGATCACATCCCATTTAAATTCACTGTTGTAGTTACAAACAGCATGCTAATCTTCTAATATTAAGATGTGTGCTCTAGAGAGACTCTGTTTTAAAATCAGTTGTCATGAGTGACTTCAGGGTGTATTTTACTACATTTGATGTTTTTCTGACCTCTGTAACAGCCACAGGACAAGGGAGCTCAGCTGTAAGGTTCCCTATAAGACCCTCCTGCTGCCCATTAGAAGGGGCAGGGTGCTGATTTACCTTAAAAACACAATGGTAATTTGATAGATTTTGTTAATCACATTCTGTTCATGTCATTTTTCTTAGATAAAATAGAAAGAAGGTGCAAAGCAAGGGTGAGGAATAATAATAATAAAAAAGATAAGAACATAACATTTCATTACCTAATCATCATTAGCATGCAATACTTTTAGTTTTCACCAAAAAAAAAAAAAAAACAGAGAGCAGGGAATTTTAAGAAGGGCTTTAGATAAAGATCCCACTCTAAGCCTCCAGGAAAATCTCAGAGTAGCTCACCTTACTTTTCAGCTGAAGGAATCATGTTCTAGAAATCCAGATGAAAGACAACCAAGTGAATTCAAAGACCAGTGAGATGAAGAAACCCACACATTCCACTGCAACATCCTTCTTCTCACCTGGTCTGGGTGAATGCTGGGGAAATTAGCTGATCACACAGGTTACAGCTGTGTGCACAGAGCTGGTGAGTTATTAGAAATGCAATTTAAACAGCTGCTGCTTCACAGATGTGAAAAGTAACTGAAAATTAGGTAGGTTGGAAATGTTCATATCACCATCATTTTAATGGTTTATACCAATTCTGCAAGCAAACTAAATCAATCTACAAATTTTATCAAGGCTTTTAACGTAATTGTATTTACTAATGCTAAACAATGGCAGATAACATAAAAAAAATCCTTTTGGATTATGAATAGCTATTGATAAATTAATAAACAGAACTGAATACATAATTAAATGCTAATATATAAATAAATGTATAAAACAATAACCCCATTCTGGGACTAGCATTTGTATTGATTTTGGGGGTTGTACATACATCCAAGCATGATGCGTCTTCAACTGTGCGCCAGGGTACAATGTGGATGTAAAGAGTCTAATCGTGTTATCCACCAGCTCCTGCTGGTCAGACTCATGTTTTATACCTGACTCCACTTAAAATTCCATTAAATCAACTGTTTTATGTTGCTGCTCTAGGGAGAATATAATGAAGAGCCACGCAGTAAGCGGAAGGATGTCTTCAGTATCTAAAGATGTCAGCGCAAAAACTGGTACTTTTCGTTGCATTATCAATACAGCGAGATTTTGACACTGAGAATGTTTTAGTCAAAGCTGGATTTCTTGTGTATGGTTAATTCAGGGTAGTTTTGTGCCCTGGGTTATACAGGAGGCTGGATGGTCACTGTTGTCCTCTCCGGTTTGAATCCATTCACAGTTTAAAAACTTTGCTATCAGACAGATTCTGTGTTTAAACAGTGCCTATGCTATGAGCTTTACCTATACTTAGCTAAACATTAAACTGTAAATCTTTAGAGAATGCATCTGTGCTCACTTGGGGTTTGATCCCAAACTAGACTGGTGGGATTTCTCATTCTTGTTGTATTCCAAAGGACAGTAACTTGGAAAATACAAACAAAAAGGAAATAAAGCATCGAAAGAACCTGAAGTTTAGGGAAGTCTTAAATCCTGGTGGGTAACTGTGCTGTCTGTGGCTGCTCTTGCAGCTAGTGGAAAGGAAGCTCTTGAAGATTTGGAAAGGGTCTGACAGAGGCACACATGCCTGTTCCATGCTGGGGAGATTTTACTGCTAGGGAGAGGACCTATCTTTGTTATCATGTCTTATCTCCATGGTCAGACCAACTCTTTATTTATTTATTTATTTATTTTTAATCTCTCCTGAAAAAACATTCTCCCTGCTTCCAGTGATTTCCTTTCTAACGCACATCAAGCCACAGGTGGCTAACTTAATGTGTTTTCCCAATTTCTATACTGGAGTCCAGCTCAGGTTGAATTTTCCAAGTGAGTTTCAGCCTAATGGTGGCAAATCGAGTGTTCCCTTTCTGCATATGACATATTGACATATTGAAATGACTTTTCCACACTGATTCCAGCAATGCTAAAACCCTCAAATCTATGTGGTTTTGGCAGTCTATTGAGTGTTTATCCTGTTGTACTCCTGAACCTTTGCAGCATGATACAGCAGCAGCAGAAGTCATACTGTGGACACAGGTGTTATTAAGAGGTCTAGTTTCTTTCTCTTATCTAAGATTGGAAGGAAAACACAAGTCAAAATGTGCTTTATATGACTGTGTTGCAGTTATTAGTTTTTTTTTCTTCACACTGTAATGTTTTTACTTCTTTCCAGACCTATCATCATGTTCACAACTGCGTTCATCCCTGCGCACCCCAGAGAAAATGAGAGCAGGAGGTCTGCACGTGGTCTTCTCAGACAGTAAAACTTTCAGCTCCTCCCCAGAGATGGACACAATTCAGAAGTCTAGCACCTGTGAACTTAGCCAGGATATATCTTCTACAAAGAGATTGAGTTTGAGTGACACGAATATAAATCACTCAAATAAGTCATCCAGAGATGCCAGACTAAGCAATTTTGATGATTTTTACCATGTCTCTGTGACCTCTTCTCCCCAGCATGGGCACCTTGCCCAGAAACCTCAGAGTGGCGAGAGGATCAAGGGCCACAGGGAGTATGGTGGGAGGCTTCCTACAGAAATGAATACGTCTTCGCAGACTGCCAGCGGCAGTACACTCACACAGCTCACTGAAACAGAGATTAAACACAAAAATCCTTTAAACATCAAGTCAGGTAAAAAAAAAAAAAGTAGTACCTGTGAGAGGCTTCTTCTTTCGTAATCTCAGACTATTATGAAGTTGTTTTCATGTATTTCATTTCCAAAATCTGTGGTCAATAGATTAATTTTAGGACTCTTCTAAGTGAAATACACACTTCTATCCAGCTTGTTGACAGTCAAAAACACAGATCCTTGATGGCGTTTGGATGACTAATTTATGCCGAAATCAACAAGACATTGGTGTTTAAAAGGGATAATCCCCTATATACTTTTGAAAATGTGTGTCTTTGTGAAGATGTGGTCCTTTATAGTCAAACTGCATGCCTCTAATCCGTAGCTCTGCTCTACTAGCCAGTCATTTTTGTACTTTATCTGCAGGGTTCAGAGATGCAACTTCATTATCAGCTAAAGTGTTACTGGAGAACTTGAAGTCTATAATGATGAAACCAGCCATGCTACCTTCAGTACCTGAGAAGGTCAGAGAACCTGCAGCTCGCAGGTCCTCCAGCCCAGCTAGAGTGGAATATAAGCAAAGTGAGACCCTGCATCCCCCGATGTCTCCCATTTGTTGCTTCAAAGACTCTCACAAGGAGGCAAGTATTGTATTACTTGTCATTGTTCTTCACAAATGCATAGGTGTAAATTGAGATGCTAACGGAAATCTCCTAGTATAAAAATGTTCTGTACAGATAATACAAAATAGCTTCTGCATCTTCAAAAGCCAGTAGCACAAAACTACCTAAAACCATCCACTGCTGCTCCAGCAGTCTGAAAGCAGCTGAACTGTGTAGAGCCAGTGTTGGCAGTACTGTGATAATTTTTCAGCAAGCAGCCTGTACAGTTGTCCTGAGCACCTCTAACTGACCTTAGGACCAAAGAGCACTCAATCTGCAGTGATTTATAGCCACTTTTATGAGATGTGCATCTTGTTTTCCTGTGTGCATGTGAAGTAGAGAAGCTACAATGAACAAAGTAGTTCCCTGGTGTCTCTGCTGCCTTCGCTGTTCATCCTCCCCCCAGCTACTTCAGGCTGACATAAGTTAGGAGCCTCTAGGCTGTTACAGGAGCACATAGTGGGGGTCAATGATCGAATGTTAACCACTGAAGAGCAGAGAGACTTAGAACGAGAAACATTTTTTCACAGTGAAGTAAGAATGAGACAGTGGGTTTTCTGTCTCTCAGTATCCCAAGTTAAGGGGAGATGTCTTCCTTCTCTACATTTATACAGGTCATTTCCTATGTTCAGTACAGGAATAACAGGCAGGAGTATAGAACAAGCATCAGAAGGGCCGGATGGGGTGGTCTCTTCAATCTTAAACTGTTTATGCTTCAGAACAATACAGGCAGACATTTTACATAACCATTTTCCCCATCCCTTTATTGTGCTATACATTATACAAGCCTCTGAGCACCTGTCCTTTAGCTCTTGGCTTGTATGGACTCTCTTGTGTCCTGTTCATCCCATTCACACGCAAAGCCCTGGCACAAATCCTATGCTGCATCGTCACTCACTTTGCATTTACCATTCAGTTGACTGCAGAGACAATTTTATCCATTTGTCCATGTATGTCTTCAGTTTGTTTTCAATGCCATAGGATGTTGAAAATAAATATAAAAATGTGATAATGAACTATATAAATGTCACTGCCATTAATTATAATAACAGGCACCTGCTTTGCTACAGGAACGGAAGGCACATGTAGTGGGAGAGGCTGTTTATCTCTGACAGAGCCTAGGGAAAACAGTGATTCCGAAAAAGGGGTTTCAGGACAGAGAACATGAATTTTCAGTGTGATGTTACTGCACAGGGAGTGACAAAAAGCACACTTCCAATACACTACTGAAAAACTGTACAAAATGCAGGTCCACTGGAGATCATTTGTGTATGCTTTCACATAAACTCAGCTTCATCCTGTGCCTCTAATTTGTTTGTGCCCAGTTGGAAAAGTGCAGGCATAAGCACCTGTTAAGTGCATCCAGCTAAGGCAGGAGGTGCTAGCAGATGTACTGCAGACATCAGCTGAGAAAGTAAATAGCTTTGGCTTTTTCTCATTAGTCTTCTTCCAGTGAGCTAAGTAATGATACTGCTGTCACAGAAGGTCAGAGTGCCACTGGAAGTGAAAAAGAGTCCAAGGTTACAGCTGTCCTTCAGCAGCTCCTGAGGCTGGTGGATTGTCACTGGAATGGGCCTGGATCTCTCCTGGTTAACAAGGATTTTCTTGGTAAGCTTTTCATATAGATGCTTGATCTTAAACATTTTTCTGCTTTCTCTCAATCTGTGTTTAAAGTCAAGAATGTATTTCACCATACCTCTCTACTTTGTTGTTGTTATTGACTGCAAGTCTGATATTCTGGGACCTTGTTCTACTCTTTTGTTAGCAGAATGTTATGTATGAAAACACCACAGTTTTTAGATTTTTGTTAAAATCTTTTTGTATCTCTGTAGTTCCTGCCCAAGACTTGCTTTTCCACCTGGTGGCTTGTACTGATCCACAGCAGGATGCTCATCTGACAGCTGGACGCTCCTCTTCAGTCTTAGCTAGAAACATTCCCAAAGTCCAAAGGACTCAGCTTAAAAATACTGAACTATTCGATAGAAAGGATTCTGCTGCGGTAGGTGGTTTTAGTTCTCTTTCTTTGTCAATGTACTAATGGAAATTCAGTAAGAAAATGACCTTATCGCGAACTTTTTAATGAGGATAACTTCCTTGTAATAATGAAATTGTGAAAGGATTAATCACCTGATTTAATTATATGGAGAAAAGACATCTTCCAGCAGGATTTCCAGTCATGCATTCTGATTGCTCCTTCTATTTGGGATCAACAGGCTGATTCTTCTGGGAAGTATCACATTTGTGGCACCTTGAAATAAGAGCACTTCCTTAATACCTGAGACAGGGTATCCAAGGTTCCCCACAAGGTCTCTGCTCTCCCCAACCTTTTTTGTAGTAGAAGTTTGTTGAGACTCATATATTTTATTTGCAAGTATCTCCTGTTCAGTGGACTGATATCTCCTGGCAAGACTTTTGTTTGAAAATGTCTGAGTAGCTGTAGTTAGGGCTTTGGGCTTGCTCTAGTTTTTCTGAGATAATGGTGAAGTCCTGATACATTTTCCTCTTGAGTCTGGGGTGAATAAGGGTGGAAAGCACACAGTAGTCCTCTTGTCCTTAGCAAGGCAGGTCGGAAGCCTTTTCTTCTCACAGGTGCTGGGATCAACCAACACCTTCTTGCTCATCCTGTTTGTAATTGTAATTCTTTCCAGATTTTGCCCCCATTTCTAGCATTATTTAACAGTGTCTGTGCTGGTCGGGCAGCTGCCACGGAGAGGAGCTGTTTGGCTGCATACTGGCTTCTTCTGGTTCCCAGGAAAACAAGCAAACAAACATTCATCATCCTGCCTCCACAGGCCTGTTTCTACTGATTTTTGTCTCTTGTCCAACCCAGAAAAGATGTGAGCCTGTCTACTCCACAGCAAGACTTCTAGCAACAGTTTTAGCTTATCATCCTCCATGTAGGGCCAAGTGCCATAGCTGCTCAAATTACTGCATTTCCCAGATGTTGCACATGTATTTCAGCTGTGGCTTTGTTTTACTCAATGTGATCTTATTGCAGCCTGTCACAGACAGGATGAGTCCTGGTCCACTAGACTGCCTCTAGCAGTGCTCCTGCTCCCTTCCTCAGGTTGGATTTAACGAATGTGTGGCCGTGAGTTGCAACAAAACGAATTAATGTCTTGATCCAATGGAAGACTGGTATCTCTTTCTCAGTGGATCTAACACACTGAGACAGCAAATGAGATGATTGGGTTCAATAAGATACCCATCCTTCTAGGAGTTCAAAATCTGTGCAGTCCACCTAGAGAAGAGCCCTGGATCATCCCGTTCTGATGTTGACCTATGCTGAGCTCTTCATTGCTCTCAAAACTCTGTCGCAGTAGGGCAAAAAATGCTAATTTATGAGGGCAGGAAGAAGAGAGCTCAAAGGATAGGACTTTCTTTTGATTTTGTAATTTACTTTGAAGTCTACTGGCTAAAAATCCCAGGAAAAACCATGTCAAATGACTTTCTCAAGACCACCAGCTAAGTCCATGGCAATAATGTGAGCAGGAAGATGCCAGGTTTTTCCTTCCTTTGCTCTACAGCCTCAAACTTGTACTTCTTGAGACTAAAATGCATAGCACAGGAATAGCATTGCAGATGCTGCAAGGATAAGTTTAAATCCAAACCTAAAATCTGTTTCCAATTAGTTCTCAAAAAAAAAATAAATCCATAGAAACATTTCTGTTTAGATTTGTTTTCTGACATCACCTAAGCTCCCTGCCAAAATGCCTGGATATCTTTTTGTGTTTCAGATGTTACTGTTTGTTTAGGTTATTCTTCTACACCTATGCTTTGAAAATGGCTTTTTTCTTTAGTGTGTTCCAAACAAATACTTCAAAGCAGTGACATAAGGGTTCACTTAAATTCATGCCATGTTACACTCATTGTCATTATCGCTGTTCAGAGGGCTCAGCAGCATCACTGGAAAGGCTTCTAGGAGCTTATCGGGTATTGGCAAAACTGCAGAAGAGTGTTTCATTTCTCTTAATGCTAACTTGATTCAGGAACCCTTTGTTGTTTTCTTGTATTGTATTGTGTTGGTTTTGTTTTATCTTGTCACAACTGGAATATTTGTTGCAGCAGCAAGAAAAAGGACTGGTGGAAAGTCATGTCTCAGCTTCCACATTACACAAGATGGATCATCCTGCTGCTTCAAGTTATCACATCCAAAGGAACCAAGCATCCATGTACGGTAGGGCCAAATGACTTAGCTTTAATTTATTGTGAGCAATGTGACTGTTCAAATTACTTTTGTTTTCTGCTTCAAGGTAAGCTCACAATGATTGTGAAGAGTAAGGAATGAAACTGGGGTCTTCTCCTTAGCAGCTGTACAAGCTATTCTTTTAGAAGTGGAAGGATTCATTTATAGCCCCCTGGGCTATGGTACATCAAGTAAATGGTGGCTGATGTGGCCTTACAAGGCTCACAAGAATGGTCACAATGCAACCATTCATGCGTTATGCCAGTACCAGCTATGCCACTTATGCGTTTTCTAGGAGCTTTTATACACTGTGCAATAAGAAAAAGATTAATGTAACAAGGAAACACTAACATAATCGGATGGCTTCCTTTACTGCTGACAGACCAGCACAAGCTTCCCCACAAACTAAAGATGATTTTCTGATATTTTCAATCTGTCCTAGCCTTACAGTCAACCTGACAGTGGTCCAAGCCTTAATCTCCATTTGTCCAGCACTTTAGTAGTCAGTATGCACGGTGACAGCTGCTGTGTAACTGGAGATAGCCTCACAAGTTTGATGGCCAAGTAGGTTTGAGCATCTGTTCTGAGCTGCCCTGTAGCAGCGGCCATACAGTTCTGTGCCCTGGGTGCTGCAGGGTCACTGCAGGATGCATTTTAGCCAGTCCTTCAGCCCTGAGTTTTAAAAGCTTTGTGTAACAAAGGACCACAACCCTTCACAGGCTGCTCTAGTGATTTTTTTGTTCGGTGTAACCTCCAGCCAATGGATTCCACAATCCCCCTTGTCTTTCAGAACAGACAGTCCTGTTAGAGGCATGCTCAGTACAGCAGTACATCAAAAAACTTTTGATCCAAAAATGTGCCTAGAACAGATTCAACCTAGGGTTTGAACAAGAGAGATAGTAATAATAACTGTGGCTGTTATTAATATTGCTCATAGTAACTTACTCTGTTACGCATTAGCATCAAGAATTGCTTTTATTAAAAATGCGTTTACCAGCTTTTGGTGATTTTGCTCAGACCCCTCACTGTGTTTCCTTAAGATGAGTTGCTTTGGAAGAACAACCAGCTGAGTACCCAGGTGGAATTCCTAAGACTGGAAGTGAAACAGCTTACCGGACTCCAGGAGATGGTGGCTCTTCTGCAGGAGAGCCAGAGGTAGGGGCTGGCCTCAGGTACGGAACAAGCAGAGTCACAACAGGAGGTGGCACCTGTGTTCCAGCAGAACTCCTCCAGTCCTAGTTCACGTGTGCTTATCGTAGTACCCCTGCAGTGGCAAATTCATGAATTCAGGGCTTTGACACATGAGCAAGCACTGAAGCACATTGAGGTTACAGACTTCTAAGCCAAGATATGAAAGTGCCAGTTCAATGAGTGGAAAGTCAGGGATATTCCATGTGTGCTGAAACTGCTTTTTTTTAGAAAAAGCATCACAGGTCAAAATCAGAGACCAGAGTCTTTGTCTTTTGCAATCATAGTACTCTGCTAGTCGGCTTCCAGCTGTTTTAGCACACGCTACCAATCTCTACAACACAGTTTGAATGGTTCCTGTTGGTTATAAATCATTGTAAGCCAGTTAGGCACAAAATCTTAAAATGAGTCATAGCTGTAGTTGTGGTTGTCTCAAAACACAAAGCTTTAAGTACAAATTTCAACCTTTTTTTTTTTTTTTTCCCATGTGAATTTGAGTAAATGGAAATCAGTATATCAGTTTTGGAAAAATGTTCCTAATTGTAGCAGGTTCCCTCTACAGAATGCATGCTCACCATTTTAATCTTTTTTCCCACAACAATCTTTCCCAGGTCTTTAGTGTCCACAAACAACTTCCTGCTGCAACAGCTGAGTAAAGGAAACAGTCTTACTGTTCACAAAGCACCTCTTCCTTCTGCAAAATGCACCAGTCGTGAGACATCGTCCCCACTAGAAGGAACTGCGTCGGTACCATCAGCATACAGCTCTAATCAGTACTGGAGTTCAGAGCAATTATGCAATTGTCCTCTGTAAAGGGAACAAAACAGACATTAAATATGGATTGTGTTCATTTTTAGATTGTATGAAATCTCTTGCTACATTTAAAGCTGGTGAATCTAATCCTTGCTTTGGTCAATTTCTCAGCATCTTCCTGCTCCTATCTTCCCCTGTCTTCTTCTGCCATGTTTATTACATTAACAAAAAGTGGGGATGACTCCTGTATAATAAAATTTCATCTGAGATCGTGCTGTGCTGAGAGGATGGTAATTTAGTTAATTCAATTCACTCTAAAATGGTACTGAATCAATATTCCAGCATAGTGCTGGCAATGTGTAGCTGGCGATGAAATATCGCATGTCACATTGATATTCAAACCAATATCTCAGGGCACTGTCTGCAAACACTTGAAGTCCTAGTCCCAGGTTTAGATTTATACCTCTGAGGAAGTCATTGACCCACCAGGATACAAGCTGTTCTCTGAATCTTGTCTGAACACAATTTACTGTTGGAACACATTGTCTGTCAGTCTCACAGTGAAATGGAAAAGTACCGAGGAAGGCAGGGCAGGTACAACTAGACGAGGAAGCTGTTTTGCCTGGCGTGAGGCCAAGGATCTGCACTGTGTGCAGTGCACTCAGCGGAGGGATGCTCGGTGAGGGTGGAGTGAGCCCTGTCCTGCATTGCCACCACCCGCAGCTCCCATGCATGTCCAAGTGCATGCACTGTATTTTTTTTTTTTTATGCATTCCTCTTCAAGTGTACTCCAGTGCAAGCTGCCACACAGAAGAACAGCATTTCTTGGAACAACAACATCTGTAAGTTCTTCCTTGTGCTCCTCCTACACAGGGACAAAGGGCAAGGTCTTGCTGGGCTAATTGGCAGACGCTGCCTCACTCTTCTGGGTCTGAACCTATGTCCTTGAGGATGATCATTCCTCATCAGTATCTCTGGACAAATCATTCATCCCAGAGAAAAAATGAACTCTCAGAGGAGCCAGAACCCTAGCCCCAGACACGAAACTTGCTGTTAAAAATGTGAAGCCCTTCTTTTAGTACAGGCATGGCCCCAGGTGATTTTAGATTAGCCTAGAAACTCTCTAGGGAAGTAACCTGGTGACAGAGAAATACCTTGTACTGAAGAAATTTAAGGTCCTGTTTGGGTAACATCCCACCTGGATAGCATTACCCTTTCCATTGATGTGGGGCTGTAGGTTAAACCACACTCTTTTTTTCTTGCTGCCCCGTCTGGTGAGGCATTTCCAGGACAATAATGATTTTGTGTATATAAGAAGTGAATACCAGGTTCAGTAGAAGCAAAATCTCAGAGCTCTCAGGCTGCTGCCATCAGGAGTTTGCCTCGTTCCCAAAGCGGCCACGCAGCGAGGCAAGGCTGCGGAGCTGTGCTCACGCTGCAGCCCCCTGCTACCTCTGCTGAGCAGTTCATCAAAGCAGCACGCACATTTTCCAGGACAGAGCTCACTCTGGCATTCCCACAGGGCTTCAGCGGTGCCAAGAGGCCCGGAAATTTACGGAGAGGGAGTAGCTTATGTCTCGCTGCCAGACACTGATAATTTGTCCTGGCCTCAGCGTCTGATTTATTTACATGAACCTAATGACAGCCCTAGCAAGGAACCCAGGAAGGCTTCAGATCAAACACTGGCTGACTTCATTTAATTTAAATCGTAAGCTTCCCATCATTAGCCACGTTTCCCACTGGATCTTTGCTTACTGAAGGAATCCACTGGATCCCCTGGTGAAGAATATCCTTCCTGTGCATGCTGGGGTGCTATCAAGCCAAAAGCACATCTTCTCTTTATAAACAACAGTTTTTGTGAAATGGCCACACAGAAAAGCAGATTCTGTTGCTTCCCTTGATAGCTCATCCAGTGGTTAAAATTAGCATAATCTATAAAAAGTTGTGCCTTATTTCCAGCTAGAGTCTTTCTAACTTCCTAGCTTCTTCTGCTAAATAGAAGACCTATGGATTGTTCCTGTATTAGGCCACCATAAAGCAAGTTTTTAAGGAGTTATTTGGAGCAGAAGATCTTGTCTTTCCTTTATCTTTTTTTGTTGTCAAGCAGCCCAGCTCCTGATGCCCATTAAAGCAGGAAGATCACTTATACGAGGCGTGGTTTTTGTTGTTGTTTTGTTTTGGTATCCTGAGTTAAACCTGAGAACATCCATGGGTGGTGCTGCATGCACTGGATATTGCTGGTGATAGTGGAGAATATGATTTGGATTGTCAGACATTTCTGTGAAGGGCGCCTGGGTAAACCAAACGCAACCTGCCAGTAGGATTTGCCTTGCAGAGCTGCAGAGAGGAAGGCCACCCCATCCCCACCCTACAGAGGGGCTTTTCCCTCTGGAAACCAAGAGCTGGGGCATGCAGCAAGGCCTCATAGCCCAGGGACCTGCCTGCTGCATGCCAGGAGGAGTCTCAAGTTAATTTGAGCATAAGATGGGAAAGAGCCAAAAATCAGCTTGCATAAAGAGACAGAAGATGATAAATTAACAAGGAATAAAACCGTTAATTAGCACTTGGGGTTAGCAGCTATAAAACTACCTGTACTGAAGACCAGGAATTAGAAGGACTCCGCATATTCTTCATCATGCCCCTGCTAAGAAGGACTTTGCCCCCTCTTTTTCTTTCTTCTTTCCTCTACCCCCAGCAATTCTTCCTGGGATGCTAGTGGCAGCTTGTGGATTTGCTCTTGCTGTCCCGTATTTTCTCCTCTGGATTGTCACGAACACAGTTTCACAGCTACAATCATAAATAACCACACCAGGCTGTGGTTTGGCTGGGAGGAGGCAGCCACCGGGTGCTTGTGGCAGCAGAGAGGGGTGAGAGGTGTGAGGTGTGGGATGCAGGGACCAGGGGCCAAGGGGAAGGAGCAAATGGAAAGGAGAAAAAGGCTTTGGTGCCTGGGGCCTCGATCAATGCAAGCAACATAAATCCTGGCTGGGACACCTTCCGCCCGCTGGCTCCTCCACTGCAAGGGAATTACGTGCTGGCTCTGGAGCGTCTTTCTTGACCTGGTGTGGAGCCAGCCTCCGAGCAAAGGCTTGGCCAGCGCAGATTCATTAACGCGGGGGAAGTGGCTGCGAGCCCTTTGCACAGGCTGTGTCGCTTTCCATCACAGAAAGCAACCAACATTTGGGATCTCTGCTGTCTCAGCATCACGTTGACACCCCTTCAGGCTTCGCAGCCAGAGCCCCTGCTCCCAGGGGACCCCCTCGCTAACCCAGCTTGCCATAGGGCACCCACTGACCCCATCACCTCCCTGTTCCCCCATTTTTCCCCCTTACCTTTGCCCAGCTCCGGGAGGTTCCCTGCAGCCCAAGGCTTGCTGAAGCCTCTCTGGCCCCACCTGCAGCAGACCGACCTCTATCATCCATTTGGCATCAGGCACACACCTGCTGAGACCCCACCAGCTCGTTGATAAGGTGCTAAATGCTAAATGGATCAGCTCCTACAGCTGATCCCTGAGGAATGTGAATCATCAGCATCAGCTGGTCAGTCTGAGCCTGGTGGCCCAACCAGGTCTCCATCCAGCATCCAGTTGCTGTCTCTCATGGAGGAAATGAAGCCAAAGACCTTACCAATGTCCAGATGAACATCCCCTGGTCTCCTGTCATCCACCCAGCCGGCTGCTTGGTGTAGAAGGCAGTGGGGTTGTTCAGGTCCTCCACGTGCCCAGAAATAGCTTCCAGGAGCATTTCCTCCACCACCTGCTCAGGGACTGGAGTCATTCTCCAGATTCTCCTCCTCACCCTTTCTGAAGTGGGATTTGACATCTGCCTCTTTCAAATCTCCCTGATCACCAGGACCTTTCCCACATTTTAGACTGGGGCCTCATAATGACATTGGCCAGCCCGCTCCTCACCAGGTTGACCATCCATCGACAACCATGCTCTCACCCCACCGTGCCTGATGGTGTCCATCCTTTACCAGCAGTTCTCCTTCCTCACAGGGGGTCTCGTGGTCATGGGCACCATCCTGAGCCTTATCCCAGCTCTGCAGGAGCATCCCAGGCCTTTGGTCCTTGCTCCCACCAGGGCCATACTGGGAGCTATCAGGAGTATCGCCCTCTGGGACTGTTTTTTTTGCTCATTCCTTGCTCATTTCTCAGCAGAATGCGTTCCTCCTGTAGCCTTTAATTTCCCTCCTCCTTATAGCTTCAGGTCAGATTTTTCCTGTCTGCAGTAGTCACAAAGACTGGTGTTTGAGGGGTGTTGTCTAAGACGTGGTCCTTGTGCTTCTCCCCGTGAGAAGCATCTCATCGTTCCCAGGAAGACACTTCCATCACTTCAGGGGAGGGCTGACTTCTTTTCAGATCTCTCTTAGATCTGTCTGGGTCTTTTCCAGTGCTAATTCCCCTGGGGCTGGTTTGGCAGGACCGTGCCTCCAGCTGGGTGGGGTGGTCAGGCTGTGGGGCCATCCCTGTCCCCACCGCCCAGCCCCGTTCCCATCCAGCCTTGCAGACACTGGCAGGGTGAGGGATGCTGTGCATCCATCTTCACCTCCAAACTCCCTGTCATGCACAGCCAAGGAGGGGAGGGGGGAAGAGCTTGGCCACCTGAGTTGCACCATGGTCTCCAACCTGCTGCAGTGCAGCCCTGAGGGCACCTCCCCGGTGTCCCCAGCATCCCACAGCACCCAGAGCCTCCCGATGGGGTCCTCCCCCCTTGCTCCACCACCAGCTCTTGTCCTGGATCATTCCCACAGGGCCAAGCCGCCCACCTCATCACAAAATGTTCTTCCTCACCAAATCCTCCAGCTGTGTGCCAGGGGGACAGTGGTGGCACTCGGTGCCAAGCCCCAGGCATTTCGCACCTCCTTTTTGCAGCTGGACAATGGGGTCAGCGGAGGGATAAAGCCCCCAGGCAGGGGGCTAGCGAGGATTGTTTTGGGGCACAGAGAGCCCCACCATCCCTCTGGCCTGCTCAGAGGAGGAATAAACATCCCAGCTCATCACAGAGCCGGGCAGCGATGCCAAGAGGAGCCCAGCAGCAGCCTGCCAGCCTCCCGCTCCCCCTGCGCTTTGAAACGCAGCTGAATGGGATGCAGAAGGACGGAGCTGGCAGGGAGCCGAGCAGCGAGCGGGGACCGAGAGCCCCACACACACACCCCAGGCACGTCCCCGGCGGCTGGGGCAGCCGCGATCCCGCAGCCACGGGTGCTGTGGGTGGCAGCGCCCAGCCTTGAGCACCCGCCCAAGCCCCGAGCGCGGCCGGTTCCCAGGGAACGTTACCAGGAACCCGCGTGTTTGGTTGCAAACAGAGCGGGAGCCGGAGCCAGGAGCTGTGTTTGTGCCTGCGGTTGCTCAGGCAACTCGAGGCCAGCCAGGAATCGAGCCCCCGGGGCCAGCCAAGCCGCCCGGCAGCAGCAGGCGGGCAGGCGGATGGACAGATGGACGGACAGATGGACGGACGGACGGACGGACGGACGGACGAGCTGTCGCCGAACACAACCAGAGCCGAGGCGTCAGTGCGGAGGGGGCTTTATTGCAGAGCCGGGTCACAGCGCGGGGCTGCAGCACCCCTTGGTTCAGGCTTCTTGAAGGCAGTGGGAGCCCACTTGGGGGAAAATTCTGGGGATTTCGGGACCTTTGGTGGTGGCCGGGGAACACGAGCGGGGCGCGGGCCACGTCCCCTGGGCCAGCCCCATCCCAGGAGCAGCCCAGCGGCTCCGGGCCATGGGTACCCCCGTGGGGGTGAAGGAAAGCGAAGGCTGTGGTGTCAGCAGGGGGGGGAAGGCAGGTCCCCAGCAGGGCTGTGGGGTTGGGAACAGGCTGTGGTCCCCGCTGGGACTGTCAGGGAGGGTGCCCCGGGGCCGGGGCTGAGGTAGGGAAGGTGTCGGTGCCAGCGGGGCACCCCGAGAGGAGCAGCGCAGCAGCAGGGGCAGGGGGGGGTCACAGCACAAGGGACAGACGTGGCGCTGGGGCAGAGCCCGGCCACTTCCCGATCGCATCCGACATCCCGCCAGCCTGGGGCCGGCCCCAGCGCAGCCTCCCGGGCCCCACGGCACGCGGGGATGTCCCGAGGCTGACATGGCCGAAGGCCGGCGCGCAGGGAGCGGGGCGGTGGGCGCCAGGGGCAGCAGCCCCTACTTCTTCACTTTGGCATCGTAGGTGCCCGCGTTCTTGTAGGCGCTGACGTAGCCGCTGTTGTCCACGATGTTCTCCCGCCCGCTCTTCCCCTTGCCCTTGCCCGTCTCGTCGAAGCGCTCCTTGTGGGAGCCCGTGTACTTGGAGGTGTCCGTCAGCCTCTCCACGGCACCCACGGTCTTGGCTTTCTGCGTTCAGGAGAGGGAGAAAAGGAGTCAGGCACCATCCCCATCCCCATCCCCATCCCCACCTGAGCCCGCGGGGACCCTGTGCTGCCCCAGAAAGCGTTTGCCTGTGGGCAGAGCCCCGTCCTCCCATCCCGACCTGCCCTCCTCCTCCTGCTGGCACTCACCGTGACGCCCACATTAATGGGCTCCTTCCCTGCCACCAGCTGGCAGATGGCTTCGAACGCCTCCTCTTTGCTCTTGTCCTTAAACCTCTTCTGGGCCAGCTCCTCCAGGGCCTTCTTGAACTCCTCGTAGTTGATGACACGAGCTGTCTTCCCCCTGCAAGCACCAAACCGGGATGCCCTAAGCACTTCCTCACGTTGTGCCTGCAAACGGCACTGCTGGTGCAGCTGCGGGGGGCTGCATAGCACCAGGGAGACCCCGAATTTCTCTTCTACCAGCCTGGGTTTCCTCAGCCTCCTCCAAAATGCAGCCGGGCTGCACGGGTCAGACCAGGGATGCAGCTTCCCCACCCATCGTTGCTCCTGCACCCTGGTGCAGCTTTGGGTGTCACCGTGTCCCCAAAATCAGCCCTGGTGCCTCTGCTCAGGCCCCTGGTCACCGAGCTCAGGGCTGTGCCCACGGGACAGCCCCAAGCATCCTTCCCTGCTCCTGTATGGCAAGATGCCCACCTTGACACCTGAGTGACACCAAAATCTGAGCCTCCCGCCCCCAAAATCCACAGTAATTTATTTCCAGGTCCTTCCAAAGCAGCCCTGAAGGCAGGACACCCCAGGGCAGCACCTTCTGCACTGTGATGGATGGCCTAGGGAGGGCTGCACCTCCCCGGGGACCACGGCACCCAGGCCTCACCTGCACAACTGGAGACCCCGAAATCCAGGTCACTTACTTCACCTTGGAGAAGACAATGTCCACGTCGGTGCCGGTGACACTTTTGCCGTCGGTGACTTTGCAGTCTTTGCACAGCTTGGCCCAGTTCTTCCCGTTCATCTCTTGCCCCGTGGCCTTGGTGTCGCCGTAGATGGCGAATTTGCGGAAGCTCTCTTCCAGGGATGCCATCTCCGTGCTCCCAGCCATGGGGCTGCGGGACGGGGGGGGGCAGAGGGGACCCCGTTACCACCGGGGCAGGGGGGGCAGCAAGCAGGCGGCAGCCTCAGCGCTCTGCCTGAGCCCATGCCCCCGATGCTGTCACAGGTACCAACAGCCCTCGGGGTGCTGAAAGCTCCCGAGTGGGGCCACCAGCCCCGGGGGCTGCCGATGCCGAGCATCCACCCTGGGGGGAGCAGCCGCATCCCCCCGCCCAGCGCCTCCGCTGCTGCCTGGATACGGTTGCTAGGGGGATGCTGTGCCCCTAGCAACCGTTGCTAGGGGAGATGCTGTGCCCCTAGCGATGGATGCTAAGGAGGGGTTGTGCCCCTAGCGACCGTCGCTAAGGGCAGGGACCCCGGGAGGGGGGGGCAGCATCGCGGCCCCGCCGCGCCCAGGCGGCACCGGGAGGGCACCGGGAGGCACCGGAGGGCACCGGGGGGCACCGGGGGGGGGAACGAGCCCTTGGGTGTGGGTGGCCCCAGCCCCCTTTTGGGGTGTCCCAGACCATTTGGGGGCGCAGACCCTTTATTTATAGGGAGGGTCCCAGCCCCGGAGCCGCGCAGCAAGGCGTCCCCGCCCGCCCCGACCCCGGTCCCTGTCCCGGTCCCGGTCCCGGTCCCGCACTCACCTCCCGGCACCGCTCTCTGGGCGCGGGGCGCCGCCGTCGCCGCTGTTTAAGGCCCCGGGCTGGCTCCGCGCCGGCCCCCGGCAGCGGGAGGGGCCCCGGGACGCGCCCGCCCGAGCCGCCGGGGCCGCCCCCTCCCGCCCGCCCCGCACGGGGAAGCGGCCGCCGGACCCCGCCCGGCCCGGTGCTGGGCGGGGGGAGCCGGGAGGAACGGGGGGGGACCCCGCGGAGGAGCTGCCCCGGGGGGACCCGGAGCTGTTGGTGCGCCCGGAGCCCTCTCGTGGCTTTAGGGGCAGCGTCGCAGCGGCTCCATCCCTCTGCCCTTCATCCTCTGCCCTCCATCTCTCCATCCTTCATCTCTCCATCCTTCATCTCTCCATCCCTCTGTCCTCCATCCTTCATCCTCCATCCTCCATCCCTCTGCCCTCCATCCTCCGTTCTCCATCCCTCCGTCCTCCGCTCCGCAAAAGGGAAAATTCATGAGTGTGGAAAACGCTCCCTCAATATCCCAGCCTCCAAAGCTGCCCTCCGTTTTTCTGCCTTTTCCATGAGCATTTCTCAAAGCACCGCGTATCGCCGCGGCTCCAGGCAGGTCGCGCTGCCGGATCACCTACCCTGCTTTCGTGCTGAGCTCCTGCCTCTGGTTGTTGCACCCGGAGAGGCGTTCGCTCTTCCCAAGGCTTCCAGGCGAGGTCTCAGGCTGCTGCTGTGCAGAGGAGCCCCTGGCTCGTCGAATCCAGCCCCTTTCTTCTCCTCCTTGGCTGAGCAGGGTTTGCTCGGCTGGGGGGGGGGGGGGGGAAGGAGGTGGTGTGGATGCTGCTGCTGTCCTCACTTGTGAGGTTTGGTCTCTGGTCACCCTGTGATGCCTCAGCAGGAGCTGCTGTGCCACAGCCTGAGACCAATCTCAGGCAGCTTCGCCTGCGCTCGGGGTGGGCACCAGGCTCCTGGGCGGCTTCAGGAGGCCCCGGGAGATGCAGTTTGTCACCAAGACACCTCTGCACATCCCGTCCCCCCAGCCCAGCTTTCAGAGGCTGCAGGGAAGCTTTTACATGCTTGAAGATGCAGAGTGGCAGCTAGGAGGAAATTGGGCTTTTCTTGCTCATTTTGTTTGTTTGTTTGTGCATTTGTTTTAGGTTGCGCTTTTTTCTTTTTTTTTTCTTTTTTTTTTTTTTTTTTCCCCTGCTTGAAGAATAGGAAAAAAAGTCCAATGCTTTTACTGCAAAGCCAAGCACACCATGAGCTAACCCCATGAGTTTGTGGACTGCTCCACGCCCCATCCCGCAGGATAAGCCCCTGCCACAGCTCACACCATGGGACAGTGGTCTGGTAGCACCCTCTGACCTGTCCCAGCATCACAGAGTCACAGCGTGGTGGAGGTGGGAAGGGATTTGAGGTCCTCTGGTCCACCAGGGCCACCCAGGACCATCTCCTTTTGAGTACCTCCAAGGACAGAGCTCAGAAGAGCCACTGCGTGCCCCAAGGAGAGGACAGTCACTGGGGCTGCCACATGGAGCAAGGTGCTGGCCCTGGGGCAGCACATCTGGACCCCAAGAGATATAATATCGGTATCCCCAAGGGGAGGCACATCTGGAGAGCTGGGTGAGAGCCAGGAGAGAGGCACCAAGCCCGGAGGGACACGTTGCCCCACCGGCGCCGTCCCACGGGCGGGTTGAGCAGGTCAGGTTTCGGTTTCTAAGGGCTGGGGTTTGTTGTGCATTTGTTGTCACCGTGACAGCCCCGTCGGGACGGAGCACGCCGAAGTGGCCACGGCAGCCAGGTCCTTGGCTGGCTCCTGCTGCTCCTGAGGCAGCCCGGAAAAGGAAGCGCAGGAGGAGGCTGGGGCTTGGTCCGGAGCCCGTGGCAGGGACAGGAGCCGCGGAGGAGGTCACGCAGGTCCTGTGGCACGACTGAGAGAGGAGCAGAGATGTGGCTCCATGCTTGGACCCCCCAGGGACCCTTTATTTTTGGAGATATCCAGAAAAGATCGCGATGTTCCCAGGTGCTCAATGAGCTGTGCAGCTCCCCAGAAGTCCTGGGGCTCACGGGTTGGTGTCACAGGGACGCGGCAAGCCAGGTGCCAGGCTCACCTCTGCTAGGACCATGCCTAACCCCAGCAAACAGGATTGGGGTCACCGGTGCTACCACCTCTGTATGAAGCCCTGGCGTGCTCCAGTGGCCTCAGGGCGCTGCGGGTGCAGGTTGGAGCGCGCACACGTGCCGGGACGTGCACCCCTGCGTCCTCCTCACCTCCCACGGGGCCGGGCACCGCCGGCTCGGCGGAGTTATCTCGCAGGAATGAGTCGCTGGCTCCGCCGCATCTGGGGCGGGATGAGGTTATGTGGGAACACTGCTCCTATAGAGCAAGTTGCTACAAAACAGAGGGAAGTGTTTCGGCGGTTGTGCAATATGTATACGGTCACCTCGGCAACGGCGCGTCCAGAAGGCATTAGCAGGGCTTAGCTGTGTCCGAGCAGTGGTGTGAGCGTGGCGAGGTGCAGCGGGTGGGCAGGGGGCCGGGGGTCCCGGCTGCGATGAATGGCACGGGGCTGGGGAGGGGCAGGGCTTTGCATCTCCCCCCTGCGACTCACCAAAGCAGGTCTCCAAAGCAGAACGGACTCCAAAAATGTCACAATCGAGGATGACTCCTGCAGGAAGGTCACCCTGGCTTCAAAGGGAGGACTAAGAAAGCGAGCCGCGCCTGAAGATGAAAGCGAGCACAGAAAGGATCGCATTGTGAGGCCGGCCGACAGCCAGCGAGATTTATAACCCCGCTCTGGGAAGGGCTCCAGAAGCTGTCACCCTCCTGCAAACGCCTTGCTTATTCCCGATAAGAAGCTGTGGTGTCTCGTGGTGGGAACGGCCAGGCCAGGGCACTGGAGCACCTCCCTGCACCCCGACCCGCAGCGTGTCCATGCTGGGGACCCATGAGGACAGAAATGAGCTCAGCATGGGGGAAGAAGGGAGCTGGGTGGGAGCTGTCCTGGATGGGAGCCTCCACCTGCCGTGGAAAGCCTGTGGGGCTTTGTGGGACACCACGAGTGGCACCCAAAGCGAGGGTCTGTGTGTTGAGAGAAAATTCAGCTGAGGCACTGGGGGCATTTCTGGGGGTTCATCCTGTGATACCCCAGTTCTCCCAGGGGCTGAAGGCATCTCAGTGCCACCACTTCCACTCCTGGGTGCCCCCAATACGCATCTTCAACATTCCTCCTTTACAGTTGTGGCAAAACCACAAAACCCAGCACAAATCAACCACCAGAGACGCACACACAACTCTGTGGGATGCCACCTGGGACGCTCAGGAGACCAGAGCCCATACACAGCACTGGAAGCACTGGGAGCCCATCTTTCTGGGGCCTGGCTCTTCCCTTAGCACCCAGTTGACACAATCCAGCCTCAAGGAATTGTGTTTTTGCAGCATTTGGTCCTCAAAAAAAAACACAGCAAGGGGTGTGTGCCTCCTGTCCATCATCCATAGGGTCCTATGGAGAGGGGACCCCTGTCAGCCCCAAGGTTAAGGTGCAGAGCCTGGCTGGGACATCCTTATGGGAAAGGTGGTCCAAAGACCCTGGGGACCATCAAACAGGCAGATAAATGTGGTGAATGACTCCGGAAAGGAGGAAACCGTTTAGCAAAAGGCATAGAAAATTTTATTGTGGACAGAGCTAACAAAAAGCTCCATACATGACTTTGGGACTGGTTCTGCACAGACAAAAGGTAAGGAAACACAAAAGGTCTGCTCGGGGGCACCTGCTGGAGAGAAAGTATTAATGCTTCCCGGGTGGTGGGGCAGCTGGCCTTTGAAAACCCTGAGCCCAGCCTTCTGCAGGGCGGATTGCAGCAAACACGGGGAGAAACAACAGGAAGGACTCGGTCTAACCTGGATCCATGTAGGGCAGACGTCCTGGTCTCCGCGGATGAGCAGCACAACATCTGCTGGGCCACAAGTGCTGGTCCCACACGTGCCAGCGTTTCCCAAGGGTCACCCTGCCAGCGGGTACCCCGGCTACAGCAGCACGGGAAGCTGCAACGTGCATGACCACAGGGAAACCCTCCTTGCATGTCTAAATATGATGACTTCCAACCACGAGACTTCACTTCTGCTGACCGATGGCTCTGGGGATCACCTCGGCCCCATAAACCCTTCAAACCCAGCGAATTCATTCCAACATTCGCCTTGTCTGTGCCATACACACCGTGCCCTTACCGTGCAGCTTGCCATGAGCTTGTCTGGTACCGCTGCCTGCCAGCACCTCGTGGCAAAATGAGGGGTGAGGAGGAGCAGTTGGACCAGCTTTGGAGACTTCATTAAACTTTGGAGCAGGAAACGTGTCTAGAAGGGAGTCCCCCTGGTCTCTGCACATCCCTGGCAGAAGGAGCAGAGCCCCAAGCTCCTCTCAGGGCCTGTCTGTCTCCTTGCAGGCAAAGGTGACTCTGGAATAATCTGTTGGGATCTAAAGCTCCAGGGACAGGCAGTGGACTTGCATGGTGCTGAAGCCAGTGTGAGCAGTGGGACAATGGACAAGAGCAGGGCTGGGAGGTGGCCACATCGGAGCTGGGGGTCAAGCCTGCCAGCCCCATGTTGGCTGTGCCCAAAGGCCGTTTGTCCCCCAAAATCCTGGCTTGCTCTGGACATGGACCACCAGAAATGGCCCACATTGCTGATGTGGTCGGCAGCAGGCTCAGCAGTGTGCCCTGGCAGCCAAGAGGGCTGAGGACACTTGGGCTCTCTGGTCTGGAGAAGAGGAGGCTGAGAGGCGGCCTCATCGCTCTCTGCATCTCCCTGAGCAGGGGAAGCAGGGAGGGATGTGCCGGTCTCAGGATATAGGGGAAAATTTCTTTACTGTGAAGGTGGCCAAACACTGGCACACGCTTCCTGTAGAGGTGGTTGCTGCCCCATGCCTGTCAGTGTTCAAGAGACATTTGGATAAAGCCCTCAGTAATATTTTCCCTTTGGTTAGCCCTGAAGTGGTCAGGCAGTTGGACTCGATGATCTTTGTAGGCCCCTTCTAAGTGAACTATTCTGTTCTACTGCTCACCGACGGAGCTGTTCCAGGCCTAGGCAAGTGGAGGAATGGCTTAGGGGGACTCACCCAGGAACATGTCTTCTCCTTCCCTAGCCTGCACTCACCACAGTAAGGAGAATGGGTTGGCCTTGCGTTGTATGCATGAAACGATGTGGCAGGGTGATAAAAGCTCCCCACGTCTCCTCTCTGCTGGTGCACCTACGTGCAGTGCCTGTTCAGAAATGGTGCGAGCTGCCATGGCAGGGAGGCAGGGGCTGTGCAGCTGTCGGGTGGGAAATGGTGTCAGGCACATACGTGCTGGTGGCCAGGCCCGCTGGGATGAGTGCTTCGCTGCTATCCTGGGCTCTGAGGTAGCTGGCTGCTAGGCAGATCTGGGCTTCCTGGCAGCCCTGGCCTCGGTGCTCAGCCAGGAATTTGCAGCAGGGCATGCTGCCTGTGGAAGCCAGGAGGACAGGGAAAGCACAGGCTCTGCAGCCCAGACAGCTCTCTGCTTCTCACCACCGGCACAGAGCTGTGACTCCAGGCACTGGCCACATGCCCCGGTGTCTGGTGTGGGATTTTTTCTGCAATACAGAGAGTCCAAGCTTGGCTGTGGACTGATTTGGCAAGCCCAGGGGATGGAAAGCTTTCAGGACCTGCTGTGTCCCAGAGTTTCTGATGAGAAAGCTGCACTGTGGGGCACTTCAGGCTGCTGGGAAGGTGCAGTTGGGTAGGACAACCCACACCGCTTTAGAGAATACATGCTGGTGGACTTGGCTTGAAGGTGCACAGTGGAAAGTGGTGTAGGGACAGAGCAATCCTGAGGTTACTCCCTGACTACCTAGTGAGTGCCCCAGACGTGATCCAGAGACTGACTGGGTAGAGGCAGATGGAAAATTTAGTTTTCAGGGTACCAGGGGATGGCAGAGATGCAGCCTTGTGTTTTTTTTCCCCCACACACCAAAATTTACTGCAGTACTGGTCTGCAGAGGGCCAGGAGGGGACAGCCCCTTGCTATGGAAAACACTGTCTTAGTTCACTCTAGCAGCTTCTCAAGGCGCCTCCCTCAGTTTTGTCTCCTTATTGCCTGTTGCCTTTAGCCAGGCAGCAAGAAATGTCTCCCTGTGGTGTGGTGGCACGCACACAGTGTGGGGATGAGGCCCTCAGTGCTCTACGGAGTGTTAACACTGGCTAAGGGCCAGAGGTTGCCCTTAGCATCCCTGTCACGGGAATCTGTTCCCCTCGACAAGAAGAGGGGAATTGGGCTCAGGGGCACTACCTGGCTTAGGAAGATGAAGCAGGCAGAAAAAAACTATAGTGATGCAGCAGGGTTTTTTTTTTTCTGCCTCTCAGCTAGGTCTGCTGTAAGATGGTCAGCATCATGTAAAGGGATGCTGCTACCTCCAGAGAACGCGTTTCTGGCGTCAAGATCTTTGAACAGCAACGTACAAATAGAAAGAGAACCTCTTGTCTCGTTCCCAAAGGGTATGGCTTTGGAAGGCTGATCACTAGGCCACTGTGGTGTTTGTCCTTACGTCCTTTAAGCGTGGATTGTGTCTGCCCAAACGCTGCTTGCTGGTGCTTTTTCTGTGTTGTGGTTCAGATGTGTTCCCAGCAGGCTGGGGCTGTGACAGTTGAGGTTCTCCACTGCTCTTACTTACAAACACAGCGGGAATCTTAGAAAAAAGTTCCAGGTCTTGTTCTATGTGTCTGTCTTGCTGGCACCTTTTCCTTTTTGCCTTGTGCCCAGAATACAGATTCTTCTCCCTGTCACCTCTGGGATTGTCCGTGGACACAGGATAATGCTGAGCATTGCTTGAGCTATTCTTAGAAGGACCATGAGGGGCTGTGCTCCCAAGGCAAGTCTGAGCCACAGGAATTTCATCCATGGACTCAGCAGACTCTGAGTGATAGTCAGCCGGGGGTCCCGCCGCCTGGATGGGGCCGGTGTTGCTGGGGGGCACAGAAGCTCTCGGAGGGAAAGCTGGCACTACGAGGCGAAGGCTGTGGGAAGAGGAGGTGGCAGCAGCTGTGGCTGGAAACTCTAGAGATGGAAAGAAAGAGAAAGCTTAAGACGAGAGACATCCCTCAGTCCCACAAAGATGTCGACAAGCCCAAGAACTCTGTTATGGATGATCCACTTGTGTTTAAAACCCCCATACACATATTTATGAAAATTTAGATGTGAAAATGTGCAGAATTCTCCACTCAGCAGTGTACCCAACTCTGATCACTTCAAAGTGCCTCCAAGCTCTCAGAAACACTCATCTTCCCTTCTTTTCTCAGGCCAGTTAACTTCCTGACAGTGCTGGGGTTTCATGACACTTCTCATTTCTGTATGCTAGCAACCAGAAAGCTACTCCAGATGGCTGGCTATCAGTCTAGTTTCACAGATGGACTGTTGCACATTGAAAATTATAGCAATTTTAGGGAAAGCAAAAGTTATGGCATAGTCTTTTTTTTTGGAGATCCCTTCTTGCATTTCAAGAAGTCAAGAAACACAAGGGTTTCTCACCTGTTCTGTTGAAGTTCTGGCTAACATAATTATGAGTGCATTTGTTCATAAAGTTACCCAAACATGTTCAGGATCAGATACTCAGTTATTTGTTCTTGAGTTCTTCAACTTCTGTTTTAATTTTCATCTTATATTCTACCCTCTGAATTCATTTGAATTATTTTTTCCTAATCTTGCCTTGGATAAAAATGAGGGAAATTCAGCCAACTCCTTGCTATAGAATAGCACTTGTTTAGCGTTTTTCTTTCTTCTTTTTAGAGAGTCAGAGAACTCCTGCCATCTGTGTTGCTGACACAGTTGCCTAAGTAGCCTAATATTGTTTATGAAGACATAGCTTACCCTCTTGCACATCTGACTAATTTTTCCTTTAAAAATGAAAGCAGTCCTTGCTAAAGCTCTTTGCTACCACAACATCTTTTTCTGTGACTTCCTCCTCGGAAATATGGAACTGAAATGAGCATCATTATTGTTTAACTGTGCTGCTATAGTAACAGCTTGATCAGAATGATAGGAGCTAGAAGAGTCCTTCTTCTCAGCTACCCTAGAACTAACAGTTCCAAGAAATAGCCATTTCAACCAATTTTTAGATTCAAAACTGTTTTGGTCTTTACAAGGTCCTCACATTCTCTGCTTTGCTCTCCATTCCGTTCCTCTGTACACTCCAATTCCGGTTCCTGGTGGCAGCTCTTGTTTCTCTCCTACCACTTCTAAAGCTGCAATCCCTAATGAAGAGCAAGGAAAATTTGGCATCACAACCCTGTTAGTTCTTCACAACACAGCTGCTTTCAAATCAAAGTTCATATTTGTTATTCTCATGGGAGTTTCTGTTCTTCACTTTTTTCTTGTCTCTACTTTCTGAAGTCATGTTCATATTAAATCTTTCACATTTCAGTGAACTGGAACCGCTATGAAGCAAGGAAGCTGACTGACGCACTCTCACCTGACTGAGGACCTGGGAAAGAGGGCCAAGGTCTAGCATGTGGTTTAGATCTGCTCTCCGTTGCTGAAGAAGAAGTCTTGTGTGTCTTCTTTCGTCTTTTCTTCTCTCTCTGCAAAAGCAAGAAGCCCCAAAGTCACAAAATACAGTATCCAAAATACAAGTGTAGTTGAAAAGGAAGCTTTCTTATCATTTAGATGACAAAACTTTGATTAATAAGCCTGGAGGAAAGGGGGAGATCACAACCACCTGCCATTTGAGGAAGTGGGGAAAGCATCTGGATGTAGGAAAAGGAATATCAAAAAAGCAGAAAACTTGACTTTGACCAACTGCTTTATACACTAAAGCTTCATGTCTGCATACATCATATTTCCCTGGGCAGATACTTTAGTACCATAATTGAATGTATGAACTGTTGGATTTTGCTCTACAGAAGCATGCACAGTGGTATAGATACAGTCACTGAACAGCACTGGAACAGCAAGATATTGCACAGGCTCAATATTACAGCTGAGCTGCAAGCTTATGAAGCAACAGCAGAATACATCTGATCATGTGTGTGAGCTGAGATGGGAGAGTATTGTTTGGATGTCATGACTGCAGGGCACGGCCAGCCCTGCACATACACGCTGAGGACAGCAAGATCATCGAGTGTAGAAAGGATGTAACCACAGCCTGCACCAGAGCGAGTTTGTACCCATGCAACGTGATGAATCAGCAGCAGCAGAGGTTTTGGTATGCAGGAAGTCTCCTGTTTACCTGTGAAGGGACTGCGAAGTGAAGAGATGGGAGGTCAGGAGAGGCAGTCTGCTCAGGATCAGCTTCATCGTTGTGGATGTAGAGCTTTGAAAAGCTAAAACACATGGCAGATGTACAAGATGATTTCCTTAGACACTACTTTACCCTGACGCCTATTTTCTTGCACATACCCAGCTTCAGTCAGGCTGACTAAGGCATCCCTTGCTTTGCACAGCACTCCCAGCATGACTGCAGGGTAGCTGTTCCTGCGCAACTGTGCACAAAACATAAAGGATTCCCTCTCCCTTCCCCAGGGACATGAGTTAATATGCAAGGCTTAATTAAGAGAGAAGGATGCTGTTTTACCATGACTGCTCGCTTTGTATTAAAACTATGCTGATTCATGTTGTGATTCAGGTCTCCTGACAACCTGAAATTGTATAATTATAATGAGCTCAATATAAGAATTATGGGACAAAACCACCCAGAAGTTTAAGACGGTAACAGAAGAAAGCATTTTTTTTTTAATTATTTTTTTTTTTGTGATGCAATGGCTCTTAGCAACGTATATTATTGGTACTCTGTGTTGTCATTTGGTTTCCACGTGGAGTTGAAATTTGATTTTGACAGAAAACCCTTATGGCCTGAGAAATTCAGATAATCCGAATTCAGATACTCAGATTCAGAAATCTGAGATATTCAGATATGGGGATATAAATACTAAACTGGTAAAAACACAACCTAAAGATGTTTTTGAGCTTGATCTCTTATAATCTACTACAGAAAAAACTCTAGGGCAACTGGAAATGAGATAAGGCTGGATTTTCTGATGTGAAAGCGCTCTAGGACATCACATTGAGCAAGTCACTTGACCAGCTGAATTGAGGCACAGCAGCAAAAATGTACAGGGTCAGGGTTTTATCTGAACCTTCCTTGTATCTTCTTACATTTTAACTGAATATGAAGAGTATTCTAAGATGAGGGTCTGGGAAATATATTAATTAAATGTCATGCTAGTCTTGAGCTTAGACCTCTTCCAAAAAAACTTGGAATTGTTAAGTATACAAGCAAATGCTACACTTAATGTAGACATGGCTTGTAAGGGCCACCCAGATGGTGAGGTATGTACAACAAGCTCTCAAAACTGCTGTAGCTGGGTATTCTGTTTAATTCCAAGGCAATCACAGATATTGATTAATTGTGACTTCCTACACAAAAATGCTCCAAGCCTAATCATGAACTTTACAGGCTTTCAGATTTCACATTTGCTCGCAAAGCAGACCATCTCCTTTTTCAGTGGCATTGTAGAAACTTTGTTACAAGCTTAGGTGGAGCTCCCAGCTTTATTTCAGGCAGCTTTAAATGAATTTTAATTTAAAACAGTCTAAACAGAGTGCTCCTGGAATGTTATTTTCCCAGAGGAGCAAAGGCAAGTACTCCTGCAGGTAAGTATCCTCCTGAAACTCAAAGATTTCAGCGTGGCTTGGTCAAAATACCAGTGCTCCATACATTCCTAAAGTGACTTTGATGACAATTTCCCATTTAGCATACATGCTGTTGGGAGAGTCCTATCTATGTACTTTACTCACCCTTTTCCTGAAGTTACTGTTGTGAAGTCCTCTACTTGAATACTGGGGTCTGTATAGCCAGGGTTACCTGAAAAAAGGTCTAATTCCTGAAAAAGAAATTAACATTTTCAGAACAATATGGACACAGTGGAGAAGAGGGATTTTCACTACTGAAGTGTTTTCTTCCTCCTTCCTCAGCCATATGCCAAACGTATCCTGTCATTACATCCAGCACAGCTGAATCTCAGCAGAGGAGTCTGTTGCTTAAGATGGAAAACCAAGATTGAGACAATTAGAAGTCCCCGATTCATTCATTTAGTCCAGTCAGTATTTCATGTGACTCAAAATCACATCAGAGCACACTTACAGAGGCCAGCTGAATCATTTCTTGGAACCACATTCAAAATATCACTTAAAGCCTTCATTAGTTATACAGATCAATAATAGAAGTTAAGCAGTGAATGCAGAAAAGTTCCTTTAAATTCAAAATGGAGGAGACAAAACTGAAAGCATGCAATAGACAGGAAAACCATAAAGCATTTAAGCATTTTCTGTTTCTTGTGTGAACGTTTTATGGCTAACAACTGTGCTATTTAAAAAAAAAAAAGGGGGGGGGGGAGGCAAAAAAAAAGCAATATGTTACTTATTCTCCTCGGGTACAGATGAATTCCAAGTAATGCCATCCTGACTTTTGAAGTTGCATCCCAGCATAAACATAAAAGAAGACTTGACAAATAAGCCTCCTAAATCCAAGTAGCTGAATTACAGAAAAGGGGCTCCCAGTTCTCCCCCCAAAAGTACGCAATTAGGATGGTCAGAGGTTCAGAGGACCTCTGCAGGTTATTATTAATTGATGCAGATTAGGAAGCCCTGATCTCAAAAAAAAAAAAAAAAAAAAAAAAAAAATATATATATATATATATATATATATATTTAAAAAATATAATAATTAGTGAGACAACTTTCAATATTTTAGTGTGCAGTGACTATAAAAACCCACATATATTGTGAGGCAAAATTTAGGTTGTAAAGATGGGGGGGATTTTGAATGCAATAGGCATTAGCTTAATAAACAAAAGCCTTATGCACGGGAAGACCTATTCGGCTGAGCAGCCCGATCAGCAGACTTGAGAAAATGAAGTCAAAGTTGGACGTCCCACAGACAGGTTCCTGAGAGACCCAGGGCCTCTGCAGTTCAGCACATTCATAAACAGAAGAGCAGAACAGTGAGATGAAGTCTGGTGATGATGCTCCCTTATGTAAGGCAATAAAAATGAAAGCCAACTGCAAAGAGCTGCAGAAGATTCGTGTAATATTGAATTACAGCGTGATAAAATGGCACATGAAAATCAATATCGCTAGATGTAAAGATGTAAAGTGATGCACTTGGGAAAAGGAGTGCAAACTTTATATACAGAGCAGTGCTCTCTGAACTAGAAATGAATTCATGGAGTTGCATGCTCAGTGGCAGCCAAGAAATCATTTCAGCTGATAGGAATGAGAAGAAAAGGCATTAAAAAAAGCAAAGAGACAATGGTTTCATGTTACTGGATAAATTCATAGGCAGCCTGGACTCTGTGTTCTCTACATCATTCCAGCCTCTTCACCCACAGAGGATCTGGAAATAGGTACAGAGAAGAGGGACAGGGCCAATGAAAGGTATCAAGCACTTTCTGCTACAAGAAACAGCTAATGGACCAGGGCCCTTCAGACAAGAGGCAAAATACTCAGGGCAAACATGAGTGGCTTGGAGTACACAAACAGGGAATAACTGCTTCACATCTCAACAATACAACGCTTAAGGAGCATCAAATGAAAAAGGATCAGGCAACAGCTTTGAAAGGAACAAAAGAAAAGCTGTGGTTTTGATACAGCATGGAGCTAAGCTGTAGCATTCACCACCATAGGATGCTGCAGGTGCTAAATGCTACATGGATTCAAGAAGAAATTAGAAAAGCTTGAGTCAGCAAGCAGCAAGTACAAAGCCATTCGATGCTCTGTGTTCCAGAAGCCCCTGACACATATTGCCAAACGCTGGGAGAGGGTACTGGGGATTATGCTCCCAGAGTCAGAGCCAGCACACTGCCCTGATCATCTTTGCCCAGCCTTCTTCACACGCCAGCAGAGAAACTTCCAAATTTACTAGTTGCTTTCAAAAATCCTGGCGTGGAGGCCTGGAGTCTCGGTACTCATATAATTGTAGATAAGAGGGCTGCCAAACTGGAAAGAGTTCAGGCTTGTTGCATTTTGTAAAGTGCTCTTACTTTAATTGGTCTTGCAAATATGGAAAGAAAGAAAAAAAAAAAAAAAAAAAAAAAAAGAAAAGAAAAAAAAAAAGAGGTGGAAAGAAATTTACAACTGTCTTGTAGGTGCTAACATCAAATTTGAAGAGAATTGGTTCAGCAATCTTGAGGGCTTGAACTTTCTGGTTTGCAAACTATGAAATTTTGGGCTCACCATTACCAGCAGAGTTTACCCCAGGGCAGATTCATGATCTGCAGGAATTCACCCCATATATATTTCACGTAGAACTTGTAACTCAAGCCATATCATTGATCATTATTGACAGAACATCAAGTGTACATAAATGGTTCCTTACAGCTCCTTGAGGACCAAATTCTTAACATTTACACTCAAACCTCATGCACCTAAGTCTCAAATGAAGGAGAGCAGACACAACCTCATGGCAATTTGAAGCAGCAAGCCTGGAAAAAGCAGGGTGGGGAGATGCAGGCCTTTCCAGAGGAAAGCTCACCATGGCTGCAGTGAGCTGCAGCAGGAGACGTCCTTGTGAGACTGTGCACAGCTACTGAAAACGATCAGGACTCAACATGCACAGCACACAAACAACTGCAGGCCTGGCATTTCAAAGGAGGATAACAAATGATGCATCTTCAGAATACCATGAACAATTCCTTCCAGGCAGGCAATAAAAGAGCCTTTTAAAATCCATTTTGTGTATTTCAGCCTTTTAAATTATGTATAAGCAAAGCAGCCACATAGAAGAAAGTAAAGCATTAGAGCTGACAAGCAGAAACAAATGGAAGAAGACTCGATCAGTAGAAAATGCAATGTTCTCTCAGCGTGACGAAAGCTACAAGCACAGTGCAGAGCCCCAGCCTCTCTCAGCTCCCACAGGATGGCCAGCTGTCAACTGTGACAGCAAGACAGAGCCACCCTTACTGCCTGGGTTGTTAGCCTTCAGCTCTTACTCTTCCTGAGAACAGACTGCTAAACTGATTTGAATCTCAGTTAGCAAAGCTCACGGCCAACTTATAGCTCCTGGCCATGCTCAGACCTCCTCTGAAGGTTGAGTACAGCCGTGCCCACCCACAAACCTCATGGTTACAAATATTGACTGCTCTATAATTGTCTACAGAAAACAAAAACAAACAAACAAAGCAAAACAAAACAAACAAAACCAGTGTTACTTGCACTTGCTGCTTTGGCTACAGTAACAGAGGCAAAGGCTCTGTGTCCAACTGTTTTGCGTTTCTGTGATATCTGAACCGTAGTAGTGTGCAAACAGTGCTTTTATTTTCTGCATGTCCCGAAAAAGATTTCACAAGTATATAAGAATCCTTCAACCTGAACATAGCTGAAGATCTAACCACAGACAAACATGGAAAATGGAAACCAGAACCAACATCTAAGCTTGAAGAAGCCTCAAATACAAGGACTGAAGGGGAATTGCATGTTTCTTCTTACTCTCTACAATTAACGAGCAGCTAAGACAAAGGTGGGAAGAACATGATTTCTATTTTATGCTTGCAAGATCTTGGATCAATTACAAAGGACTTCTGTGTTCAAACTGAAGGCTGTAGTCAACACAGCTTACAAAAGGCGAGTCACTTGGTGTACTCCTACTCCAGTGTATTTGTTTGTGTTTATCTCTGGTTGCTATGTAAGGAACAAGGAAAATCTGGTGGGTTAACATTTTTCTTAACAATGTTACTGGGCATCTTCCAGTCTTTATTGTTCCCCAAGGTACTGAACTGGAGCTCTGAAACACAGAACTTTTCACCCTCCTTCTTCCTGGCTTGCTGCTACAAATTAATGAGATTCACACATAGCTGGACAAGCAGCAGGGCAGACAGGAGAACAGGACTGAATGGGCACATCCCTGATGTACCCCCCCCCAGCCAGAGTCCACCTCTGTTCAGATGTATTTTCAGCATCAATCAAACTTTGGTAACTAGGAAATCATTAGAGCTAATGTTTTATTATTGCTCTAATTTTCATGCTCTCTGAGACAAAGTGCCAAACATCCTGGTTGTTATGGAAACCTCTGTTTAAACTGAACATTCAAATTTTCCAAGACAGTAAAAAAAAAAAAAAGTATATGAAAAGCTGGGGTATCCATATTGTACAGAAAGGGAATTAGCTCACTTCCCCCTTTCCTTTGATAGGGGAAAGCTTTTAATGTGTCCAGAGAGATCCCAGTATCTCTGCACAGAACACCTGGATTAAGCTTGGATGTAATTAGTTTCTTGTGAAATATAAACCTGGCTGTATAGGAGGCAACTCACTTGCATAAAGCTAGGTAGAATTACATTGGGATCGCAGAATCACATAATAATTTAGACTGGGAAGAACTTCTGGAAGTTTCTAGTAAATACCCTGCCCAAACCAATACAAATGTTGAGCAGTCAAATTCTGAGTAACCCCAGGGACAGAGTCGTCTTGCAGTAAAATAAATTACCCTGAACCTCTCAATTAATACTGCAATATTTGCCACTGCACAGTGCAGCAGGACTGAAGCCTTGTAGAACTCCTTTACAGCAGCACAGATCAACATCATGGTAATCACAGGGACCCTTATCACTGCGTAAACGCAAAGAAAAGCAAAGCTATCTGGGTCGTTTCTGACCATGACTGGCGCCCTTTTCTTTTTCAGAAGCGTTAAACTGTTCAGTATTAGCTGCTCAACAATTAACCCCAGTTTCTCCAGTCCTAGAGCCTGCCTGCTTTCAGTCATGACCTACAATACCACGCACATGAGCCAGCAAAATGCAGTCTGCCACCAGAACAGATGGTTGTGCCCTTTCCAGTGACAGGTCCTTCCCACTCTTCAGTCATCCTCTTTCATGCTGACACAAGCACTTACGTGACTGCTTGGTGAACCAAATGGGAGGGAGCTGGCCCAGCTAAACACTACCTCAACTATTTTTTTAATAAAGCTTATTCTTACACAGATAAATTCCCCCACCCTGTTCAGTGCATGACTGTAACAAACAGCTGTGCTGGCAGAGCAAAAGAGATAGTCCGGGGCCCAAAACAAGTGGTGGAAGAGAAGGGGTGGGAGTGATTCATTTGAAATCAGTACTTGCTTATGCCTAGAGTGTTCATCAAGTCACAGGCCTTAGACTCTCTCACATCCTATTCTACTTCCACAGAAGTACTTCAAAAGTCTTACCTGTAGCCACTGCCTCTAAAATCTGAAGCCTGCAAAACTGAGGCAAACTCTACACAGTGAACAAGTGGGGCTTTTTTACAAGAAATGGATTGAAAGTACAATGAGTACCTGACTGGGGATCGCTTGGGAGGGACAAGATTCCAGTTGCTTGTCTGCCTCTTTGGCCTCTTGCTGGGGACGCTGCTGCAGGATGTACTCATACGTAGTCAGCTTGTTCCACACTGGGAGGAAAGAGAGAGCTGTCAGTGCATGAAAGGCCCCTCCCAATTTTACTTGCCACCCACGAACAGCCTGAAAAACTATACAATATTTAATTAGGAACTATAAATATGAGAAAACTGATACTCTAAGAGAAAAGTACCATCACATTGTCTACCTTACTGCATTTTTTATTGTGATCACCACAACACTTTCTCACAGGCACAGTGTTCAGCTGGATGTCTGATGCCTCATACACACAGTGCAGCCTTTTAAGCTGTCACAATTCATTCAGCTCATTTCAGAGCAAAGCCATTATTCATATCCAAGATGTGAAAAATCTCTATCATATAGAAAGCTCAGTGAGCAGTCAAAAGGGATGTAATGGTAAATGTAGAAAAGAAATTCAGCAGGTTAGTGTGTCCCATAAAGAAGACTGAGACAATTAATATCCAAAACAGTGAGCACCAAATGCCCGACTCATCTCATGCCAAATAGACACTGTCCAAAGCTCCTATGTGCCTGAGTTTATATGCTCTTAAGGTCTCCCACACACAAACACATCTGCTTCCATGAATGAGCAAAAGCATTTTACATTTCCAAGCAGCTTGGTTTTCTCATGAGACTCAAAACATCCAAAATTAAGACATTCCTCCCCTCGTGACCCTGATGTAGTAAGTATTTTTAGATCACAAAACCTAGAAATGGATGCTGCAGCTTTTTACTGCACAGCCTGGTAAGTCTTATTCATGTTTATAGTAGCACAGCAGTTAAATCAGATGCCTAGGATATGGACATCTAGACTAAAATCCTCGCTCTGCCTGAATATGTTTGTACCCCTCAAATACGTTCCTAACCCTCAAAACCATGCCATAAACACAGGACTAGTTCATAGGGAACTGGGAAAGAACAGAGGAGAAGGTGCCCCTCCTATTAAAGCAGTGACCGTATGAAGAAAAAAGAATTTAATATCCATTTGGCCAGGAAGACAGAACATAAAGATGAATGCGAGTCTGAAGCCAAGTGATTAGTGAATGCATTTAATGAGGATGGTACCAAGTGCTGGCAAATGCTACTAGAATTGAATCTGAATGCATTATCTGAGAAACAGAATACTGCCTCAGAAGCGAAAGGGCTATCTACCATTTTTAGCTTAGAATTCATTGGTTTCTGAATACTTAGCAGAGCAACTTTTAAAATATTTTAACATTTGTTTAGTCAAAAAATACTACATTTGGCCAGACAACACATAATTGCAGCACATAATGTGTAACACGTAATGTGCAACACAATCAAAAAAGACACCTCCCTCCAAAATTCTGAAGAGCCATGCTTCCCTAAATGCCTCTACAACTGAATCTCAATCAACACTTGATTTTGAACACACATGTCTACTACTCTGAAAACAATCTACTGTGTTAGCACGAAGTAGTTAAAACCAGGACAGAAATTCTGAAAAGTTCACTGTGCTTGCAACACAGACAGATCCAAAGATTTTCATAGCTGAAACTGATTCAAGCCAGTTTGTTGCTTTTTTTTGTTTTGTTTGTTTGTTTGGTTGGTTTTTTAATGCAAAATTTAAAGGCAATATCAGCCATGGGGTGCTATTTTCATTCTATAATTTAATTACACAGGAAAAAAAAGATTCATGAAAAAACATTCATGAACAGTAATTATGTTTCAAAAGGGTACTTCATTCCAATACTGTCTACCTTAAAGTGTTCAGATGAGACCACTGAAAATTACGTGTGAAATAAGATGAATTTAAAACACAAATAATATGTCTCTCTCCCTGAATCTCAGTTGTCAAAATAATGCATACCTTGTAACATACAATATAGGCTTCAATGTGGTAAAGTTGCTCCTTTTAAGCAAGGACTTACACAACACACTTTTGCACAGAATGGAGCATGGCTTAAACCAGCTTCAATAAAGTAGCAGATGTCAACATAATAAAATAATAACGAAAATTAACAGTAATTAAATTCTGTTTCCATGTAACTCATAAATATTTTAAATTGTGTCAAAAGTAAAAGTTAATTTGGCTCAAAATTTATTCTGAAAGAGGAAAAAAATCCCTCCAAGAAAACAAAAAAAATCAACCCCAGAGTAGAACTGGCGTAAAACATGCGTGTTTCTCTTTGACAAGAGAAAGCACGACTTTATCCCAAGGAGGGAGCACCCTCTTGTGGAAACTGTACACAAGGACAGGATAATCTACAGCTCAGCACTGGACAAAACAATCTTTTTTTTTTTTTTTTTCATTCAAAAATTTTCCTGGAGTGGCCACAGCATTGTGATGCTTTTAGTCTGCATTGCTAGGTCAACCTTTGAAATCTCCAGGCATCACACCATTAACCAAGTCAAGTCAACTTTTAATTGCATCAAGAAAGCAAAATTGTGGTCTGTGACCAAATCTGGAACTGCACGGATTTGTGCTGGCTTAATTTGTGTTCACACCTGTATCACCGTTAATGGACAACCTAAGAATCCACCCAAGAATTGTCTGTAAGCAGTCTTCACTTCTGCCACATCCCTTCTCCCCTAGTTTTTGCACCACTGACTTCTACAAGTGTGAGGTCTTCTCTCATCACAATTTATGTAAGGCAGACAAATAGCATGGCCTTCACTTCGCAGAATGACTGAAAAAAAGGTTTTTGATGACCATTTGTACTTCCAGGCAAAACTGTCCCTTCTATCCATCAGGAGCAACAAGTAGGAGATCTAATCTGTGGAGCCTTTCTGAAAAGTTCTCTCTCTTGAGTTCCACAAACCATTTCGTGTCAGTAAACCTACCTAGCACTGCCTTTGTTGGGGACTATGTTGTTGCGTCTATGCTTAGTCCCTGTAAGACTAAGCCAACCTTAAAAGTTTGTGATCAGTACCGAGCATAGAAGATCCATGCCAGTTTTACAGAATGGCAAAGCACACAGGAGTGCACCTTGCTCACATCCCATTGTGCTTTAGCAAGTCCTAGAGCATGAAATTGGTATTACACAGAACTAGCTGGGATGCAACATTAATCAGCAAACCAGATAAATATGATCTGGATAAACCTCGTGTGGGCTATTTAAAATCCTACACATTTATATATAAAGTCTTCCATGACTATATTAGCCAAAAACAATGTAGTTACTTTTTTTTTCTTCCATTCAAGAAACCTTGTACTCAGGATGCCATCCTTTAATGTTTAGGATTTACTAGCAACTGTCCAATTACTATCAAAGACATTCTAGAAATGACTACTGATGTAGTTCAGCAAGTGAACTCTAAGTTTATCTGGATTCTAAGTTTTTGTATGATTTCTATGATTCAACCTGGAATGAAGGAAATGGTACTGATAGGGGGTGGCCCTATTAGAGCTTTCTGAGGTAATGACTTCAAGATGCTCCTGGGGAACCACTAAAGTGGGAAAAGGTTTTTCACTGGCTCCACTCCACCCTTTTGAAAGACACAAAAAGCCTCTAGATAAGTCTCTAGACAGAAGCCATCTGCCTCTAAACAGATAGGCTTCTCACTATCCCTAGATGAAAACAGTCAGAGATGAGATGGTACATTTAGGCCAAATGCACGCTCTGGGGTGCATAGAGTTATTCTACGGATATCTATGAGGTTAATTTGCATCTCGGAGACAACAAAAACACTTATCTGAGGTCTTACAGACAGGACGAAACAGATTCATCCCAAGTCAAGCATGTGTAGAGTGGTTTCTCCCTGATCGATTCTCAGTTGCCCTTGATGAAAGAAAAACTTGAGTGAACTAGTGGAATTCGGAAACAGCATCTAATGGGACTTCTGCACATTGCAATAAGAGAGGGCCTCTAGGGAAAATCAGAAGTATAATGTTAAATTCCAAGTTTTTACCTCTTCAGTGGTAATCTTGCATGTTGTATGCATAGTTGTAACATAGGTGAACACAGAATGAGTAGAAGCTAAAATGAAGGAAATGAAATGGGGATACGGATGACAGGAACATAATACCTACTGAGATAGATGTGAAAGTTCAAGAGGTGGCCTAGCAGGAACAATGTCACTAGGCTCAGTAGAATAAAAGTCCCAGCTGGAACCAAAATGGCTGGAGCCCCAGTCTCAACAGGAGAAGCAGGAAGAAACACAAACCAGACGTCTGTGTGGTTCCTCAGAACTGTAAATCAAAAACAGGAGAGGTCAGCAGATTGCCCAGGTATCTCTTACGTGACTTTACATCTGGAAATACTGTTAACTCAAAAGTGGCTGCAGGCCCATTATGTACTTGAGGCTTAAGAAACTTTATATTTGCAAAGCCTTTAGGAAGAGCAGCTTACTATGCTCTGGAAGGAAACACATTGCATCACCTCAGCAGAGACACTCCTGTACAAATACAACACAAAAGGAATAAGGAACAGGAGTTCCTCCTCAGTGGCAAAGCCCATGGAATCCAATCCCACATGCAGCTGGTCCTTGAGATATGCTGGCTGACTCACGGGATGCTTCACTGAAGCATTGCTGTTACCTTCGTAGTGCTGGTCAGAGCGAAGCATCATGGGGTTGATGAAGAACTCCACAAAGACGTAGCAAGCAACGAGGAGCAGAAGGCCAAGGCCCAGAATGGCAGACAGCACGCTATTCAAAAAGAACCTGCCAAAAAGGTGAGAACTCTGAGTGGCTTCAATAACATCACACATCGAATTCCAAGGGCAGACAACCCAAATTACTGTGGCACTTTCACAGATGCTGGGCAAGAGTCTTATTTGCTACCCTGAGGGACTAAACTGTGACGTGTTAGAGCAATTCTAGTTAGAAGGCAGTTAAGAATACCTAGAATAGACAAAGAGCTCCCTGCACAAAATCTAACAGCAGTGTATTGTGGCAATCAGCAGTAACAGCTCTTTGCTTCCTGTGGTTCTAGTGCAGAAAAATGAGCTGAGAAGCAATAATCAGTGATAGCCTCCTTATTCTTTACCTTAAACCTGGCCCAGATTAGAGTTACCTGTATGCTGCTGTAACTCCTGCCAGCTGGCAGGAAAGCAGGCAGTTTGGATTCATGTTGTTTCAGAGATGGGAACAGCAGTATGACCATGGTTCTGTTCCCACTCCAGTTCTCACAAGCATTAAGGACAGTCAGTTACCATCACATAAGCTTTTCCTAATACCAAATAATAAGAGCATGTTTTCGGTTTTTACTTATAAACACTTGACTACAAAATTCTAAGTGTAGGAATTGTATCCCTGGTTATGGGGATGGCATAGTCATGCTTGCATTTTCGATCTGGTTTTCTCATGACTGACTTTATGCAGCTGGGATCTGAAAGAAAAGTGGTTTTGAGTGGCTCAGTCCAGATTGCACTGAGATGCAGGAGCATCCCTGGAAGGGGGATATTACTTAAGCAGCGATGTGTTCTTGTTACATTGCCAGGCCCTTACCAGTAATTCCTCTCTCCCACACAGTTGTTGAGCCATTTGCAGTGGTGATCAAAGCCACACACACATTTATTGCAAGTTCCACAGTGCTTTGATTTGGCACTCCTGCCAAAGAAAGGGTGGTGTTAGAGTGGCAGCACCAACAGGTTCCCATGCCTTCCCAGTGACACAAGCACAGGGGCTTACAGCAGTAGAGATCCTGGTAGTCATGAGAATACCTCTGATATTGGGAATACTTAAACTACCAAACATATTGGCCATATTGGCATTGTTGGACCAAAATCCCAAACGCTGCAAAGTTTGTCTTTTTAATGCATTGTGTGACTTTCTAATTTAGAGATCCCAAACTCTTTAGCAATTCTACAAATCTTGATCTTAAAGTCTGCCCTCCAAGCATTTCTTGCAATCCAATTAGCATCTAGCCAAATACAAGCACACACACACAAGTTACATATTGTTCTCAGATCTAACACCAACATCCAGGTAACACAGAACAGAATAGTTCTCTCCACACAACACAAGAGCAATTATATAAAACACTGAACCATGCACACATTTGACAGTGAGCATCTACCCAACTAACTGAAGCCTGCCACAGGATGAAGTTTCACTGGCACTATAGAGTTAAGGGTTTCAGGGACTCGCTTTCAATCTTAAAGTCTAACAGTAAGAAGAACGTTATGGTGAAGTGTAATGGTGAGGAAGAAAGATAAATAGAAGAAAAAGAGAAGATACTTACACATTTACATCACAGACATGGCAATGATGGTTTTCAATGACATGTGCATGTTGATTACGATTGAAGGTGGCCAGAGGCCCTAGATAGTTTTTTTCTCGCACATTTGCATCCGCAGGATCAATGGAGACTGCAGCAAGATGAACAACTAAATGATAGATAAAACACACTCCTGGACACTGAAGTACACAGTTAAGGATTGTATGAGTGGTTTAATGCCTATATATTTATCCTTAATACACAAAGCCCACACAGACGAGAAATATATGGCTTGTAATTAGAAATTACCATATAACTGACTACAGCACATTAATCTGAGCTTTATTAACAAAGAAGTTTTCCTATCTCATGATACTAAATATCCTCTGCAAAAAGAAAACTAAATCTACAGGAACAACCCTCCTTATAATGTACTATTCTGCCTCACAGAAACGTCCTCCCTAGCACAGGAGTTTTTAAAAATTACCTTTACTTACCAGAATCTGACCCCATGTGCAGGCTGTTGGAATAGGTCCACACTTCTTAGTCCATACAGAATCCTTGGAAAGGAACAGTCAGTTAAGGCCGTGCACATGCCCCTTCACAAGACCAAACTTCCAAAAAAGAGAAAAAAAAAGTCACATCAAGTAACCAGTACCAATCACCTTGTTTTCCTTTTCTTCAGTCTGAATCGCAAGCAAGAGGATCACCCCTTTAAATTAGGGTCCTACAGAATTTACAGACAGAGAATATCCAAAATGTCTCATTTGTTTTTCCAACAATTATCTGTTTATATTCTTAATTCCAAACTCAGTAGCAAGTGAGAACAAATAAGCTTTAGAAGTACTTTTGATCAAACCTCAAGTGACTGCCAATATTCGGAAAGACTACAAAGCAGCAGCTTTACATATCTGGAAAACCACTGTGCTCCAGAGTCTGCTTCTCAATACACTGTGATAGATGAGCATGCATGCAACAATTAATCTTCCAGTTTATTTGCTATAAAACCAGATATAAACACATCATTGATCATATTAAAGTCTATGGAAAACACAGAAGTGTTGTAAGAAAATAAAAAAAGAGAGAGAGGGAGACATTTGTGCTGTAATAACTGGTAGTAAAGCTTTGGGATACATTAATCTGGTGAGTTAGAATGACTTCAGACTGAGTTATGAAGATATTTGGCATTTAAATTTATGAAGTTCAAGCCTTCATAATACCAAGGATTTCAGTAAGATAGGTAGTTGTAAGACAGCTGTGAGCTAAGGATATTAATAATACCTAAATCATGCAAGTGTAAGTAAAACTATAAGCAAAAGCATCAGTTGCAATAATATTAAAGGTTGTATGGACATATGAATATATGAATACCACATGTACGAATTACTCCCAGGAGCATCTTTTCAGAACTCTTCCCGAGATTCTGTCTGTAATATTTCTTGTTTATCAGGTTCTGCTAAGAAAGCTTTAAATATGAAAGGCAAAAGAGACTGCTAAAGGATTTTCTTGTTTCCATTTACAGAACAACGTTAAATATTCCCCTTGGTTTCTGCCACAGTAAGACTGACACATTTGGAGTAATCTTTGTACAAATTGCCGGAGATTAACCTAGCAAGATTTTTTTTTTTTTTTTTTCTGAAAAGCAAATATGGTGCCTGTTTAATTTCATTCTAATTTGACCCTTGACAACAGGAAGTCCTAAATACATCAAAATGTGTGTACATTTATACGTACGTACATAAATCTGCTTTGGCTTTGTTTGACATTTCATAACATAGGTCAGACTTCCTGACTTTAATCTCGCTGAGCCACTTTGTCAATTTTATTTTCACCAGGAAATACGTTACAGGAGAATTGACAAAACCGAGGAGAGGAGGAGGAAAGCATGCTCAAGCTGGGTACAGAAGGAGGTGCCTTGACAGCATGAGCACCTCAGCATCAAACACTGCCTGCATTTGGAGGAAATAGATGATAGACCTCTCCTCCTATGGTCACTCTACACCACCTTGTATTTCACAGTCAGCACAGGAAAGTGAGGCAGCTCATCATGGCAAGGATGTTTGGGGGCCTTTTTCCCTATGACTTCCCTCAAACGCTGCAGCACACTTGTAGAAAAATATAAGGCAAAGAGATGCATAGGCAGGAGTAGACAGCAGAAGAGCTTTGGAGGCAAAGATAGTGAAAGGGAGTGATGAAGGAGACAAGTAGAATGTTAGTGATCTACCTAAGTGGAGGAGAGAGTGGGTCTCAAAATATGTGTTTTTTATAGACAGAAGATCAAGATTCTGGCTCAGCTGCTTCTCCTATGCTTTATATGCTACCTAACAACATTTATATATCTATATATATAAAATAAACTGTTGATAGTTTATTACAGTTCATGCTCTCCTCTTGACCAAAGGATACGATATAGCCAGCGGGCAGCCAGTGGAGGGGCAGGAGAGGAACGAGGATTCCAAAGCCAACCAGCGCAAAGAAGAGGTACAGCAACCAGGCAATAATCTGGAAAGGGTGCAGAGGCCAGCTCCAGCCATTCCTTCGAGCGCGTTGGACCTGCACCTCAGGAACAGCTTCGCCGAAATTCTCTGGAGCTGTCTTGTTAGGAGGCTTATTGCAGATATTCATCTACAGAAATAAAAAAAAGGAAAACAAAATATGTGATATAAAAATATGGTGACTGAGCCCTGGTCCTGGAGATGTGCTCCAAGAGGATGGACAGAAAGTCTAAGAGACCAAGATAATGCATCTGAGGGAAGATTTCTCTGTGCAGTGGGGATTAATGATCCATAGTGACAAAAGGGGAAGAACAATTACACACTCTAAAAGCAAGTGCCAATAGCTGCGAGAAACATCAATACCTCAAACTTTTAGCTAAGGGAAACTTGCAGGTTTTACCAGTCTTTTGATGGATCTAGACCAAAATCAAGTAAAAAGAGCACAGGGTGACAGCCTGGAGACGAAGTATGATATGATCTGTTTGGGGGATGTGTTCATTTCACAAAGCTGTTTCACAGGTGATGGCAAAACACATGCTTTCACCTGTCTCATGTATGCCATATATTCCTTTCAGCTAGTGACAAGAAGTACAGTGAAAGCCAATAGCCCCACTGGAGCACATGGTCTGGAATCGCAACTTTAGAACTACACAGCTCCCAAGACAACAGAGACCCCTTTGTCAGCAACAAAGGAAGTGGAAAGACTAGAAACTTTAAAAAAAAAAAAAAAAAAAGTGAACAAAAAGGGGAAAGGAAGCCTGAATTGCTCACAACACAACTATAAAGCCAGCTGTTGCTAGAAGAAAATAAAACAGAAGGTTACGTATGTGAGAAAAATCTCAAATAATTTTCTTCAGACAGGATCTCCTCTGAAGCTACTTTATTCACAATTGCAATGGCAGGTGTCCTGCCAATTAGGAGCACATTATAGCAAACAAATCAGAACCTTTTATTCCCTATTACCTGACACCTGATCTCCTCCCCTTTCCTCGTTGGCTGAGTACTACAGCTTCACAAGCTACTCAATGCTCCTCTATACCATATATGTACAATTTTTCTTTTTTTTTTTCAGCCCTTTAATTTCTCCTTTTTCCCTTTTCTTTCTTATGTTTTGAGAACTTGTGATCTTTGTTTCACTGTTCTCACACTTCTCATCCTGTTTTTCTCAAGATTCTGCCTTATTTTGGAACGGGGAGGCCTTCTGCTGTCCACTCAAAGGAAAATACATCTTTGCTCTCAGGGGCTGAGAGCACCCCATTAATAACACCGTTATTCTAGCCTAACAATTTACTATTTGAATGCCCAATTTCATTATCAAATCCTTTCCCAACAAGTTAGTCCCTGACTCAGGTGCATACAATAATTGCCCAGTGATCATTCTATCCCTAGTCTCAACTTGGTGTCCCCCAAAAGTAGCACATCCCTTCTACCCCCATCACATTTAGGGTTTCATTAGTCAATTTAAGCCCTGATACTTTACAGGCCAGTGATGACCTAGCTGCCCCAATGTATTGGGTTCACATGGCAAGGTTCTGGTAGCAGGGGGCTGCAGTGGTAACCCCTGTGAGAAGAATCCAGCAGCTGCCCCCTGTTAGATAAGGGCCAGTTCCAGATGGCTCCAAAGGCGCCCACCGCTGCCCAGGGCCAAGCCATGAGCAATGCAGTTTAAATCTCTATGAGAGCACACCCAAGAAAAAGGAAAAATAGATAAATAAATGCTGCACAACAGCAGCTGGGAGAGCGAGGAGTAAGAAATCTCCCTGCAGACACCAAGGTCAGTGCAGGAGCCCTTGCTGTACACTTTTTCATTTATCAGGGAGCTACCTTTCTGAGAAGCCCCGACTCCTTAATTCTGAATTGATAACAGCAATCTCTCCTCCTTCTTCCCCTCCGGATACTCCTGTTTGAAGCGGTTGGCCTGGCCACACTTAAAACGTCTTCTCAAAGCCTGTCCCTGCTAGGATTTAGGCTGCAACACAGGTAGCTTTCCTTGTCTGTCCTTCCTTTATCTCTCTTCCTCTCCTTTCCATCCTGGGCCCTCTATCTCCCCCTCTATCCAGGACGCTGTGAATACCACTTGTTTCGCTCCCTGCTTTTCCTTCTCATCTCCCTCCTGGTGTACACCTTCATACTACACTGTTCACACCATCCTCCCAACTTCTGAAGCTTTTTCTGTATATCTGGCCAGGCTTTAATCCCAAAATGAACTTTAAAGAGCCGTTGGGCTACCAGGTCCTCAGGATTCATCCCCAGGCACTTTCTCATTCTGCCCCCGAGTCCCTTGTATGATTTCTTCATTGTGGGTTGTCATTATTTCAGTTGGATAAGTGGATATTTCTGCTCTGTCAGAATTACTCCTGGTCCTGGGGGAGGTTGTCAGTTCTTTCCCATTCTTGCATAGCTGCCTGTTGAATCATTCCCCCCCTAAACATTCTTCTCCAGTGAATAACATACTCAAGATTGACATTTCCTCCCCCCCAGGAATACAAATTAGGCCTTAGAAACAATTTTGACTGTTCTGCTAGGCCCTCAATTAAAGACTTCATTTCCTTCTCAAAACTCCTAACCTCTCTGCTGGTAAGGGGGGAATGGCACCAGCCCTGCACGGCCCCGCTGGGACCCCCCTCCACCTCTGCTCCCCAGCACAACTTCTCCAAGGACAGCATCGATTGCAGTCCCTGTCTCCCCTCCTGGAGCACCTGCTGCTGCCTCTGGTGCAATATTGGGATTATAGGGAGCATAACTTGATTCCTCCTCCGAAAAAGGAGTCTTATTGCTTACATATAAATTTCAAGCCTGAATTTTCATCAGACAAATATTTTGGCCAAAATACTGATGCCGAGCACCTCACTTCACTGTGCTTGGGGTACCGTACGGCTAAGGGCCCAACCCCCCGAGATTATCTTTTGCTTGTCTCTATTTCACTTCATCCCTCTCCAGCCAAGGGGACTTCATTCATCCCCTCGTGGGACTACAGAACCTCACGGATCAGGACTCCGCACTCTCTTTGCACTAATGTGTCTCATTCACACTCCACAAAGAGTCTCCCCGAACCCAACCCGAGGCAAGATACGGTAAAGTTTCCCTTACCTCGGTCCGTGCACAGCTTCCTGGTTCAGGTTATCAGCAGTAATCCCTGTCCCTGTACCTGATCTGGGCTTTGTATGTCAGTGCTGGCCCCCCTTCTCCCCAGAGCTTCGCAGAGCCTGTCTTCAGATTAACAGTCTCGGTCCTTTGCCGGCCATACCAAGACGACCCACCGCCCCCAACGGGACCGCTGAAATCAGCAGGGTGCACCTTCCAGCCTGTGGTGGCAAGAAATCTTTGGCAGGCGACAAGATCCCGGACGAGCCCTCAAATTGTGAGAAAAATCTCAAATAATTTTCTTCAAACAGGATCTTCTGTGAAGCTATTTTATTCACGATTGCAATGACGGGTGTCCTGCTAATTAGGAGCACATTATAGCAAACAAATCATACCCTTTTATTCCCTATTACCTGAGACCTGATCACCTCCCCTGTTTCCTCATTGGCAGAGTACTACAGGTACGCAAGCTACTCGATGCTCCTCTATACCATATATGTCTATTTTTTTTTTCAGCCCTTTAATTTCTCCTTTTTCTTTTTTTTTCCCTCTTTCTTATATTTTGGGAACTTGTTATCTTTGTTTTACTGTTCTCACCCTGCTCATCCTGTTTTTCTCAAGCTTCCACCTTATTTTGGAACAGCGAGGCCTTCTACTGTCCACTTATCTATTTAGCATTTCTCCTTGTTATGACTACACAACTACCTTGGAATACAGAAAATCAGTGCTCTACTGCAAAAACACGACTTAGTTTCTCACACATGTGCAGGACATCCATGCAGTAAACTGCCAAACTATTCAGCTGTCCTAAAACGTCTGGACTGCCAGCACGAGAGAGCAAGATTAACTGCAAAGATGACTTACGAACCATAACTGGAAGGTTCTTGATGTTTATGTGTTTGCGCAACAGCTACAAGCTCAGGTGCTATTTCAATTTGTGTTGGATTGTTAGTTGTTGCTCTTTGCTTGCCTCTGATCCAGGGTGAACCTTTAACAAAACCTGCCTTGGTAAAGGAAACACATCAGCTCTTCATTCCCTCGGACAGCAGAGAGTTGGGTTTCTCTGCTTTCAGCTAGTCCCTTTGCACATGAGTGTGCTGAAAGATGAGGAGGAGGAGGTCTCTGGCTCACTCATGGTGTTTTTGATAACGGTTCCAGTACCAGAAAAATTCCAAAGGGCTGCAAGACAGCAAACATGCTGATATGCTGAAAGAGCAAGCAAAATGGTTCAGATTTTGGTACACCAACTGCACCACCAGTCCAAACAAAGACGACTTCTAGGGTCAAGTGATAAAGAAGTAGGAGTAAGAACATAAAATAATATAATTTATGCTCATCAGTGCAATCTTATCAGCAACCAGTTTGGGGAAAAAAAGAAAAACAAACAAACAAACAAACAAAACAGTCTAACTTTGAAGAAATTAGCAATGTCTGCCTACATTCATAGTTCAAATTCCTACATGGCCACCGACTGATCAGTGATGACAAAGTTATTAATAATTCGATATTTTCCTCATTAAGGTTGTTGAAAACTTGCTTGCATTTCACTCTGAGCCACCTGTTACAAAAACTGCTCAGATTACCAGAGAAAACTCCCAGGTTTCTCCTTTCTCCTAAAAAAATGCCTGGCTGCAGAGCCAGGTCCACGCAGACACTGGAACAGACTCAGACACTTTCCTGAGACTGTTTTATAGCATCGTGTGTTTTTAAAGTCATCTAGTATTTTTGTATGGAGAGAAGTTTTCACATGCAAACTGTGCCTAAAGCTGGTGTAAACTACTTCCTAGCTAAACTTCTTACGACTACAATCACCCCGCGAACGATTCCTAACACACTTTGCAGCAACCCAGGAGACAGCTGTGCGACTGCCGCCCTCAGAAGAGCCAGACCAGCGTTCCTCTTGCCTTTCCCTCACCGCTCGAAGGTTTCTCCTGTGGTTACACACTGATCATCCGCTGACGGTGACGAACACCGCTGCTAAGTGAGGAGGCTGCGGGACACAGCCTCTCCCTCCCCAGCCCCTCGCGTTTCCACAGCGAACGCTGAGCACCCACAGCAGGGTGCGAGGGCACGCTGGGGGCTTCCTCGGTCGCCGCTGCGGAGAGGCCACGCGCTTGACGCTGGTTATTAACTCGGAGACCGCAGCTTTCTCCCTTCGCAGTCCCCAAACGGGAGGACATGAGGACGGACAAGGCACGCAGCGAGCCAAGCAGCGAGGCCCACAGCCTCGGAGGAGGCAGCGGGATGAGACGAGGGCTCCTGGGGAGCCCCGAGCGGCCACGCTGGGGGCCTCCACCACCGCCCGTTCCTCACCTTCTCCCCGCGGAGGCGGCTCCGGGTGTCCCCGCACCCGCCTCATGCCCGGGGACGGGCGGCAGCTCCCGGTGCCTCGGCGGGCTCAGGCCGCTGGGCCCGTCGCCATGGCAATGGCCGGCCTACGGCAGGGCGCAGGCGCCAAGCGGCGCCGGGCGCGTTGCGCTGCAGCGCTGCTGCTTGGCTCCTTTCACCTCCCTGAGCCAGCTTAGAGGTGTTTTCAGGAGATTTGGCCACGTTTCTGCAAAAAGAAAACACAAAACAAGGCTCCCCAGGGGCTGCGCCTGAGGGGTGAGGATGGTGGATGGGCCTCCCACACGGTGCCGTGGCCTCCATCCACCTCCACCGCCTCAGCGCAGCCAGCTGCTGGGGACGCTTTTCCCGTGCCGAGCCCCAGCAGCAGCCCTCAGGTGCTGGCGAGCGGGTACCCAGCCGCCATGGAGCACAAGGAGGTCTTTATGAGCCGCCCGTGGGCCGTACACAGGGGTGGCTTTGTGTGAGGGGCGCCAGCCCGGCGCGGCCGGAGGCTACTGCCCTCGCCCGCCGTCCCCTCAAGCCCTCACCACCTCCTCGGCCCTGCGGAGGATGGCTGCAGGGGGTGCAGAGCCTGGCACTGCTTCTGCCTTCGCCACCCATCACCTTCCCCGTGGCAGCGGGTAGCGGGGAGGAGCAGCCATAGCGGGGTGAAGCTGGCTGGCTCGTGCCCTGCTGCCCTCTCCAAGCCACTTGCGGGTGCTGGGCACGAGCCAGACCCCCTGGCTGTGTGCAGCAGGACATTGTGTTCAGGGCAGAGCGAGGACATCCTTCCTACAGCTGTTTTTATTTTGTCAGAGGTTACAAGGCATGAGGAGCCAGACCTGCATGCTGGCAGGCTGCAGTGGCGGAGATAAGGAAAGGAGGGCTGGCACAGGTGGGCACGCAGCCTGGTCCCCCTGCAACGCGCATCTCCTGCTGTGACCCCCGTCGTGGCCTCTGGGGTCTTCCTTGCAGCCTTAGCAATGGGCAGGATGCCTTCTGCAGTTGCTTTGCCCTAACAGCTGTGAGCAAGCATTGTGGGAGAGGAATTGGAGAATATTGTAGAATATCCCAAGTTGGAATGGATCCACAAGGATCACTGAGTCCAACTCCTGGGTACGTCTCTAATGGGACAAGAATGGAGGTCACCAAGCTGAACCTGCTCCATCACTCCGCAGGACAGACCCGGCTTGGCCCCACATCCACCTCCAGCAGGGATCAGAACTCGTACGGGGACACGAAGGCGGTGACCTTGAAGATGTGCTTGCCCAGCAGCACCTTGCGGGAGAACTCGCTCATCTCCAGCTCCACCTCCAGTGTGGCCGGCCCCACCACCGGGCTGGTGAGCACCAGCTCTCCCGTCTGCCGGTCAGAGCGCCGCACGGCGAAGACGCCCTGGCCACGGCCGCCCATGATGGCGAACCGCAGGCTGTCGCCCACGAAGCGGGTGGTGGACATCTTGAAGAGGACGCGGGGCACGCTGCGGTTGGCCTGGAGCGGCAGGTAGTGGAAGGAGATGGAGGTGGCAGCCAGGCGGCAGGCTCGGCTGTCCATAGGGCAGGGGTTCCTCTCGCACTGGCTGCCAGGAGACAAGAGGTACCACGACTCAGCACCGTGGTTGGCAGCACTTTGGAGTTGCCTGCTTGCAAACAAGCTTATGGTGACCTCCAGCTTCATGTCCTGTGGTGGAGCAACACAAGGAAGCCACATCCAAGGAGGTTCAGCCTTGGAGCTGTGTCCCTGGGCTGGGCATGGGATCTGGAGGCAGATCCGCAGCCTGGAGCAGGGATCCTGCTCTGCCTGGGGTGCTGCAAGAGCTGTGCCAGGCGAGGGGGAAGCAGCCAGCGGGGCCGGCTGTGCTTGGCAGCTGTGCACAAAGCAGTTCAGTCTCGCAAGCAGGACCAGGGGGCTGTTTCCATGCTGGATTGCAGCCAGAGGCACTGCACGAACGTACAGAGGAGGGGAAATGGCATCGTTCCCCCTGGAGTCCTGGGCACCAGCGCTGCTGGCATTTGATTAATGCTCCAGTGAAGCCAGCCCGGAGCACGGCTCCCGGACAGAGGTGCTTTGCTCTGGCTGGAGCCCTGAGCACTGCAGAGCGCCAGGATAAAGCCACCTTGTATTTGGGTGCTCCCGCCCACGCCCCCAACCACTGGCGTCTCAAAGCCTTTGGCACAAGGCATCCTGGATCGTGCCAAGCACTCCCTGTGTGACAATTTGCCACCAGCACTCTCCTTGCTTGCTCCATGGGTGCTAAGATACGATTCCCTGGGCACGTGCAGGGCCCGTCTCCTCCTTTAAGAGGCTGCAATGCAGCCCACGCCACGCACAATACTCACAAGCTGGATGTCTTGACATAGCTGGTGTTGTGGCGGGGCGGGGGACACTTGGGGCGCACACAGCGGTGGCCCCCGAAGGTGTTGATGCAAAGCTCCCCGTGGGTGCAGTTGTGCTGGCTGCCGGTGCACTCGTCGACATCTGTGGTGGCAAAAAGGGGGTGAACGGGGCCGGCCCCACACCTCCTGGCTGTGCAGGATGCTCCGTGCCATGGTGAGCACAGGATGCTTGTTGCCCTGGGTCTTACCCTCGCAGGTGTTGCGGTCGGCATGGAGCACATACCCGGGGGGGCAGAGGCAGCGGTAGGAGCCCGGGAGGTTGAGGCAGTCGTGGAGGCAGAGCCGGGTCTGGGGGCTGGGCTGGAAAAGCTGGCACTCGTCGACATCTGCAGGGTACAGAGGGGATGGATTGGGGTGATCTGTCCCCACCGAGCCTCATCCCTCCTTGTCCCCCCCGTACCTTGGCACACGCCTCCAGCTCGCATCTGGAAGCCGGTGTCGCAGCTGCAGTGCCGTGAGCCCGGGCGGCCCTCGGCACAACGGGGCTGGCGGCTGAAGGAGGAGTTGCTCAGCGTCACCCAGTCTGTGGGGAGGACGTGGTGTCACCACCAGGGAAGGATGGGATGTATGGAGCAGCCCTAATTTGTGCCCCTATCGAGCTCAGGATGGGTCTGGGGGCACCTACAGGTGTAGACGGGGCTCTGGCAGCTGGTTCCCGACCAACCCCGTGGGCACAGGCACGTGTAGCTCTGGTTGCCATCCACGCAGGTCCCGCCGTTTGCACATGGGTTGCTGGAACAGTCATCAATACCTGGGGAGAAGGAGCTGATAAATACCACGAGACCAGGGCTGGGGAGCTGGAGAAGCTGATCCCTGCCCCTTCCTGCCCCCCGGCCCTGCCGGGACGCAGCCCCGGTGCCCATCGCGGTGGCCTCTGGGCTGCTCCTGGCACAGTCCCGTGGCCGGGAGCAGGGCGATGGAGGAGCCGTCCCCGAGCCCGCGCCACTTCACTTCTGCAGGAGGGCTGGGTGCCGCCCCAGGTGCGGTCACGCCGGCAGGTCCGTGTCTCCGAGCCCACCAGCCGAAAACCAGCATCGCAGACGAAGTGAACGTCGTGGCCCACCCGTGCGCTCCGGCCCAGCTTCCTCCCGTTCGCGGGCACTGCCAGCTGCGGACAGGTCTCTGCGGACAGACAGACGGACACGGGTGAGGATGGGGATGGCACCCAGGCTGGAGCCAGCCCCGGTCCCTGGCTCAGAGCTTGGGATCCTGCCACAAGCTTCTCTCTCCGGTGCCGTGGGGGTGCCGTGCGTTACCGTTGCGCTTGCTGGCCAGCCTCTGGACGCGGCTCTGCAGCGCCGAGAGCTGCTTCTTGAGGCTGCGTGTGCCCTGGAGGTGGGCAGCCTCCTGCGCCGACAGCAGCTTCTGCATCTGCCGCACGGTGCTGAGCACCTGCTGGTGGCTCAGGCACTCCTGGGGGAAGGCAAGGTTCTCCCCGTCACCCGCCGGGCTGCACCCTGTCCCCTCCCATGCAGGCGGGCAGCACTTGGGGACGGTTGGGATGCTCTGAGCTCATCTCTCCCCATCCCACTGCGGGGTCTGTCTTTGCTTCTGCATCTGCTCCAACCCCAGCCCCCCTCTGGCCCTACCCAGGTGCTGAGGGAACACCCCGGGTGGGTCCAGCATCCTCCCCAGCAGGGGCTGAGCCCCCAAAACCACCCCCACGGCCCAGAGCAACCCCATGGATTGTGTCCGTGCCCATCTCGGGAGCGGGGTCCTTACCTGGGTGCTGCCGAGGGGCAGCTGCAGGACGCACAGAGCCACCCAGGCTGGCAGCAGGACGAGCAGCATCGCGGCGGGGCTGGCTGCTGCCACGCAGGCTGCAAGGACGAGATGCCAGCAGTCCGGTCCTGCCCCGCTCCCCCGGAGCCACCAAGAGAAGACCGAGGTCCCCTCCCCACCCCAGGCCACCCCGTACTCCTGCAGCCACATCCCCAGCACTGATGGACCCCCACCGGCACCCCAAGCACCCCAAAGCCTCCCTCAGACACCCCCCCCATGATGACACGGCACCACCACTGCCATGTGGCATCACCCCAAGGCCACCTCACCCACAGACCTGCTGGGCTCTCCCACGGAGGGACCTGGCCAGGTTCTGGGGGCTCTGTAAGGAGGGACGTGCCCCAGGCACCCAGCCCAGCTCGACCCCTTTTGGTCTCTCCCTCACAGCCGCTCGCGCTCCTCCGCTCGCTGGGATTTCTCCTTGGCGCGTGTGTGCGTGCCTGAGTGTTTGTTGGTTTTTCCCCTGCCCGAGCCGTAGGAAAGTTTCCTCTTGGCACCCGCGCTGGCCTCTCCCTTCCCTCTCCGCAGATCAGAGGGTTTGGGGCCTTTCATGTCACACGGGCAGCAGATGCCGGCTTTCCCTGCGGACGCGGCTCACATGGGCCGGCCGGGGCCAGGCGCTGGCTGTCACGGTGCTCGCAGCGCTACCGGTGCACAAAATGCACAGGGGTGCTCAGGATGGGGCTGATCCGGCGTGTGGGATGGGAACAGGGAAGGTTCCAGGACAAGGGGTGGTTTTAGGGTCTGCATCAGGGCAGGGCGGGGAGCTGGGTGTCACTGCAGGCTGGGTTAGGGTTAGGGTTGGCATCAGCATCGGGGTGTGGGTTAATGTTAGGGTCAGGGTGAGGGTTGGGGATGCTCCCAGGCTGTCCTGTATGGGAAGGGCTGGCCTCACTTGACCCCACAGGAGGGGGAATGGCAGTGGGTGACTGTCCCCTGGCCACCCCTGAGGCTGGAAGCCCAGGAAGGTGCCACCAGGCTGGGACACGGAGCTCCAGCATCACCCCTCACTGCAGGATCCGGGACGAGAAGGGAGCAAGAACCACGGCAGCAGCACAGGGGACACGGGCTGGTTTCTGGGATGGGCTGTAGGGTCTTGGACCCTCCCCACACCCCGAGCAGGCTGGTGCTGCTGGTGGGGGTGCCAGCACTGGATGTGCACAGTCGTTGTGCAGGACACCGATGGGCTGCGATAGCCCCTTGCTTTTGGGGGCTCACCGCAATGGGGCCCCTCTACCAAGGGATCTCCCCCAAGCTGGGGCAGAGCCCCCGCAGCAGAGCCCCCCCGTCCAACCCCAAGCATCTCTCCCACCCCGTATCCACGCTGCCCAGCTCCCCGGAGAGGGAATTTGGCTTCGTGCCCACGGCTCCCTCCCCGGTGGTGTGCGTTACCTCCCCGGCATGTTTAATTCATGGGGCAGGAAGAAAGCAAGCAGTGGGGCTGGGGGGCGATGCCGCCGTCCCCCAGTCCATGGGATCCCGGCTTTCCTGTCCCCAGCACGGTGGCGGGGTGGGACTGAGCCCCCCATTTGCACCCACCCCGTGTGCTCGGCGGAGGGGCCCCCGAGCTGTCTCCACCGCCCGCGTCTGTTTTGACAGAGCTATTACTCACCCGTCAACCTTTTGTTCGGGCTGACCAGCAGTGCCTGTCTGAAGTCCTGAATAGGATAAAATCTTGGAAGCAGACACACAGGCACGCAGGACCGGCTCGTCCCTCCCCAAATCCTCCCTTCCCTCCCAAATCTTCCCTTCTGTGAGAGCGGCTGCGGGGCATGGAGGACGGCAGGGGTCCGGCCGGCTGGCTCCTGGTGCTGCTGGCCTGCCTGGTCTGGAGGCTGGGTGAGACGGAGAAACTGTCCCCGCTGGCTCCGGGGCCCCGAGGTAACGGGGAGAGGGGACAGGGGGGCTCACTGCCCTGGGGGAGCAGCTTGGGAAGTCCCTAAGGGGATGGGATGATTGCGCCCCAGTCCTGTCCCTAACCAGGTGCTCCCCAGGAGGGCAGGGGTTTGGGGTGGTGATGGGGATGTGGGGCTGGTGGTGGGGACACGGGGCTGGTAATAGGGACCCAGGTACAGTGCTGGGGGCTCGGGGCTGGTGACAGATCCATCCCAGAGGGAGGCAGCGCGGTGCCCAACACCCCGATGCCATCTGGAGACCGGGCGCATTCCCGGTGGTCTCGCCTCCCCCTGCCCGGCCCCTGTCCCCTTTGTGCTCCTGCCCAAAAGCGCTTCCTTCGCTCCCCTCTGGTCTCCATGGAGACCTGGGAGCCTTCCCCATATCCCCGGCTGCCGCGTGGGACCGGCCGTGGTGGGGGCACCCGCTCGGCCCCCGGCCCCAACCCCCAGGCCGCCCCTCACCCTCCGCAGCTCTCAGCGCGAAGGAGACCTTCCTGGTGCTCTCGCTGCACAACAAGCTGAGGAGCAAAGTGCAGCCACCCGCTGCCAACATGCAGAAGCTGGTGAGTGCCCCAGGACTCTTCCAGACCCAGTGCACACCGAGAGCTGGTCCCTCGGGGTCCCCAGTATCCCGTGATGGTCCTCTGATGTCCCCCTGATACTTACTCGACATCTCCTGGTGGTCGACCCATCTTCTGGTGGTCCCCAATCACCTCCTGGTGGTGCCCAGGTCACCAAACATCCACTGCTTGTTCCCAGTCACCTCCTGGTGGTCCCCAGTCACCTCTTGGTGGTTGTCCAACATCCCCTGATGGTCCCCAGTCATCCCCTGGTGGTCAGCCACGTCCCGATGGTCCCCAATCACCTCCTTGTGGTTGCCCAACAACTCCTGGTGGTCCTCGGTCACCTCCTGGTAGTCTCCAACCATCCCCTGCTGGTCAGTCATGCCCTGCTGGTCCCCAGTCACCTCCTGATGGTTGCCCAACATCTCCTGGTGGTCCCCAGTCACCTCCTGGTGGTGCCCAGGTCACCAAACATCCACTGCTTGTTCCCAGTCACTTCCTGGTGGTCCCCAGTCACCTCTTGGTGGTCAGCCACGTCCCGATGGTCCCCAATCACCTCCTTGTGGTTGCCCAACATTTCCTGGTGGTCTCCAGTCACCTCTTGGTGGTCCCCAGTCATCCCCTGATGGTCAAGTTACATCCTGGTGGTCCCCATTCATCTCCTGGTGGTTGCCCACCATCCCCTGGTGGTCCCCAATCACCTGGTGGCTGTCCAACCCCCCCATTGGCCCACCACCACCCCATGGGTACCTCCACGACGCCCCCACCACCCCCCGCTGTCCCAGCAGGAGTGGAGCGAGGAGCTGGCGCAGCTGGCGACGGCACGGGTGGCCGGCTGCCTGGCATCCCCCCCTCCCCCACCAGCCCCACAGCTGGGCTGGAGCGAGACCCTGCTCCCGGTGGGCGCCGGGGGCTTCGTGGAGCTGCTGGAGCGCTGGTTCGCCGAGGGGCACCGCTATGACTACGGGGCGGCACGCTGCACCAGCAACGCCACCTGCAACCACTACACGCAGGTAGGGCAAGAGGGGCACGAGGGGCACGAGGGGAGGTGGGTGGGTGGCTGGGGGGCGTCAGCGCGTGACGGTGCCCCCTCTCCTGCAGCTGGTGTGGGCGACGTCGGGGCGGGTGGGCTGCGGCCGGCAGCTCTGCGCCGGGACCCGGGGCCGCAGCCAAGCCTTCGCCTGCGCCTACCGGCCGGGGTAAGGGGCTGGGGGTGTGGGGTTTATGTTAATGGGGGGGGGTCTGGGTGGGGTGGGCGGGATTTTTTGTTAATAGGGGGCGGGGCTTTGTGTTTTAGGGGCAGTGGTTTTGCCCAGAAGGGGGCATGGCTTGGCACTCTTGCTCCATTGATAGTGCATGGCTTGGGTCGAGTGGGCGTGGTCATAATTTTGGGGAGGCGTGGCAATGGGGGGGGCTTGTTGCAGCTCCACCTCCCAGCTGCCCTCCCCTGGTAGGGGCAACTGGGAGCTGTCCGGGGCGCCCATCGCCCCCTACCAGCGCGGGCCCTGGTGCTCGCTCTGCACCGCCGGCCTCTCCGGGTGCTTCAAGTCCTGGGACCACGGCGGTGGGCTCTGCGGTGAGTCCCTGCGCACCCCCCCGGCCAGCAGACCCCCCCACACCAGGCCATGCCCAGCCCCTGAGCACCTCCTGCCCCCCATGTGCCCACCCAGAGGTCCCCAGGAACCCGTGCCGCATGAGCTGCAGGAACGGCGGGCACCTCAACGTCAGCTCCTGCCGGTGCCACTGCCCCCCCGGCTACACGGGGCGCTACTGCCAAGGTGAGCGCCCGCTGGGGTGGACGAGGACGAGCCGGATGCTGGCAGCACGAGGCAGGCGCGTGAGCGGTGCACACGCGTGTGCCTGGTGCGTGTGTAGGGTGAGTGTGGTGCTCGGGGGCGAGCAGTGCATGTGTGTGCATGGGTGGTTGCAGCATGCGGGGCAATGCACGTGCAAGGTGAGCACAGGGCGTGCACGCTTGGTTCCCTGGGTGCATGCTTGGTGCAGCGCGTGCGTGTGCATGGTCAGTGCGGTGCATGCCTCGTTGCAATGTGTGCATGTTTGCTGCATGTGTGTGCACGGTCCGTGCAGTGCCCAGTGGCCTGCTTGCTGTATGTGCGTGCAGTAGCTCAGCACATGCACGCAGCACACGGGCAAGGGAGGATGGTTCTGGGGCCGGCTGCCCCGTGGCGACCTCATTCTGTGCCTTTTCACCAGTTCGGTGCAGCGTGCGGTGCCTCCACGGGAAGTTCAGGCAGGAGGAGTGCTCCTGCCTCTGCGATGCTGGCTACGGTGGTGCTGAGTGTGGCGGTGAGTGGGGGCTGCCCCGAGGCTGGGGGGGTGTCCCCGTTGTCGCTGACCTGTGCCCGCAGCCAGGGTCCGGTTCCCTTTCCACACCTGTGATGTGACGATCGATGGCGACTGCTTCATGGTGTCCCCCGAGGCCGACACGTACTACGGAGCCAAGGCCAAGTGCCAGGTGAGCCCCGTCCTTCCTAAAACATCCCAAAGCCCCATGGCTTGGGTCACGGTGGTCACATGTGGACCCCGAGCCTGTGCTGGGGAGCAGAGGAGCAGGTTTGAGCTGCCCGCTCCCTCCGTGGCTTTCCTCCAGGAGAAAGGGGCCATGCTGGCCCAAATCAGCAATCAGAAGGTGCAGGACATCCTGGCCTTCTTCCTCAGCCGCCTGGAGAGCAGCAACAGGGTGACGGACACCGACTTTGAGACCCGAAACTTCTGGATCGGTGAGTCCTACCGGGGTGCTGCTGGACATCCCACCCCCCTGCTGGACATCCCACCCCACTAATGGACATCCCACCCCCCTAATGGACATCCCACCCCTCCAATGGACATCCCACCCCCTGCTGGACATCCCACCCCACTACTGGACATCCCACCCCTCTAATGGACATCCCACCCCGCTGGCTCCCCCCAGGTCTCACCTACAAGATGTCCAAGGCTTCGTTCCGCTGGGACACGGGCGAGCCTTCCACCTTCACCAGCTTTGCTTTCGGGCAGCCAGACAACCAGGGGTAGGTGCCCACCGGTGTCCCGGCCCCACGGGACACATGGTGACCTCCGTGCTGCCACCCTGTCCCTCTCCCCTCCTGCACAGGTTCGGGAACTGCGTGGAGATGCAGGCATCAGCCGCTTTCAACTGGAACGACCAACGCTGCAAGACCCGGAACCGGTACCTCTGCCAGTTCGGTGAGCGCGTGGCCACAGCCCCTGAGGGGTCTCCTCCATCCCGTTAGTGTGGCCGGGAGCATCCCGATGGAAGGTGCCACCTTCTGGGCATGGGGAGCGCTTGATTTTGTTTCCCATTGCAGCCCAGGAGCACATTTCCCAGTGGCAGCGGGACCCCTGAGCGGGCAGCCCCAGGCTGTGCCCCCTGCCCACCGTGAGGGCATCTCCAGCAGCAGCTGGGGACGGGGACAGGGGACAAGCGTGGCACTGGGACCGGCCGAGAAGGGCGCACGCTGTGCATCAGCATCCCAGATGCGGTGTCATCTTCTGCTCCTCGCCTTCCTCTGTTGACAACCACCATGGCAAGGAGATGCCCAGCCTGGGACAGCTTAAACTGGTGGCCGGCGAGGAGCCAGGCGGGGCCTTTGGGTGGCACACACCTTGGCACGGCTCAGGGTGAAGGCCAGGCTCGGCGTGGTGCCACCGGCAGCAGGACAGGGGTGTCACCACGAAGCCACCAGCCTGGCACCGCGGGTCCCCTGCCACCAACCGGGCGGATAACAAAGACCTCTCCATTCGGAAGAGCCCTTTTGTCTCCTTGACCTCTTCATTTCGGCCACAGCTCCCGTCCTGCCCATGCTGCACCCAGGGGCTTGCACTTGGCTGGTGCCCAGTGTCCCCAGCGGGTCCCAGCAGCCATGGTGGGGACACAGGGACACGGTGTGCGGGTGGGATGGGGCCGGACCACGGGGCTTCGAGGGTCCTGCAGAGGATGTGGGGGGTCCTGCGGAGGCCAGAAGCGCCCCCCAGGACGGGACACGTCTCCTGGGAAGGGGCCGGCACCGGCCGTCCCCCCGTGGCGCACGGGACGCGGGGCGCACGGAGAGCGCGGAGCCTCCCCCGGCGGGGCTCGGGGGACCCCCGGCATGGGGGGCAGCTCGGAACCGGGGGGGTCTCGCCCACCCCCGGCCGCCCCCGCCGTGGTTCGCCCCGCTCCCCCTGCCGTCGGCGGCGTGGTACGGCTCGGGGGCGGCGCGCTCGGCCCGGAGCCGCTCGGGGGGGGCCGTGCCGGGCCGTGCCGGGCCGGGCTCCGGCGGGGCCATGAGCGCGGCGGGCGGCCGGGACGCCTGCTGGAGATGTGAGTACCGGGCACGGGGAGGATGGAGGGGACGGGGGGGGGCCGTGGGGAAGGTGAGCGGCACGGCCCCGGCACAGCCCCGGCCAGGGATGCTCCTTGGCGCCGGGATGCTCCGCGCAACGGGGGGCGTCCTCCCGGAGCCGCACCGCGATGTCCCCGCTCCTCCCCCGGCACGGGGCTGTGCGCCGCCACCCGGGGGCCTCCCGTGGCCCCTTCCCCAGTGCCTGTCCCTCCCCAGGACGAGGATGTCCCCTGGTACCGGGATGTCCCCGTGCCATCACCCCCAGGACAGGGACATCCTCTCATACTGGGATGTCCCCATGCCATCACCCCCAGGCCAAGGACATCCCCACCAGTTTGGGGCAGGAGCCCCAGCACAGAACCAGTGTCCCAGGGGTGATGGAGCCCTTCTGGCTCTGGTCCCCTTGCCCCGATTGATCCCCTCAGCATGTCATGGGACACCACAGGTACAGAGCCACCCCCCCGTGTGCCACTCACATGCGGCTCCATGCAAAGCGTCAAGCTGCTGGGGGTGAGGGACATGCCACGAGGGGCTACAGGGGGGCATGGGGCGGGTGGGGAGACACTAAAAGCAAGCAGTGCTTTTATGGGAGTCACCCATGGGACAGCTGGTGGTGGTTATGGTACTGGTGACACCTGTGGGACAGCTGGTGATGGTTATGGTGCTTGTGACCATGCAAGAGGGAGAACTCAACACAGCCACCAGCTCCTATCCAAGAGCTCTGCCAGGAGATTTCGCGTTGTTCCTCCAGCCAAAATCACAATATTAAATCTATCTCGATGTTAGCAAGGAGCTGCAGTGATGGCTCTCAGGGAAATACTCTTGATGGAAGAGACGGAGCTGGGAGCGGAGCCTTGGTGCTGGGGGAGAGGACGAGCAGGGGGCAAGGAGATGCCCATCGGTGACCTCCTGGTGAAGCCCCCAGGAGTTAGCAGATGTCAGGAGATGTGGCAGCCCCCTGGTGCCTGGTACAGCTCTGGGCACATCAGGGCTGAGGCTGGTGGCAGCACATCTGGGGACAGGCGTGGAGCACCTCATGAAGCCGTGGGCTCCTTTGGGTGCCGCGTCCCCATCATCGGTGTCCAGCCTGCTCCGGGGTGCTCCAAAAAATACCTACATTCCTCGTCAGGTGGATTCACCACAGCAGGGGGGACATATCTGCGGGGATTAATTACCCTTGTTACCAGAACTGCTTCCTAATGGGGACAGCTGGGGCTCGTGGGGCATGCGGGGTGTCCACAGGGTGTCCACAGGCTGCGGGGGCAGCTGGGGTGGTCGCCATCCTCCTGCTGCTTCTCTGGGGGTTTGGCTTAGAGGGAGCTGGTGGCTGCGACGCAGATGCTGAAAGCTTCGGCAGGAGAGGAGCCATCCGGAGGGGCTCCCGGTTCTCGTTCTGTTTCTGCACTGCTCATTTTCTTCTCTCTCTTCCCCCTCAGATCTGGACATGGCCAGGGAGGCCAAGCCGAGCCGGGCCAGGCTGGGCCAGAAGAGGCAGCACAGCAGCAGCCTGTACCAGTGAGTGCCGTGGACGTGGTGGGGAGGGCATGGAAGTGGGGGGAGCTCCTCTTCCTCACACTGCTCTTCATCCCTTCAGTCCTTCTTCTGCATGCCCTTGGTGGTGGATGCTCACCTGGCTCCATAGGATGTCCCGACCCTGTCTCCATGGGCACCTCCCTAACCCTAACCCCAACCCTAACCCTAACCCTCCTCACCGAGGATCTGAGGCTTCTACCCAGGAGAAGAGAAGACCCCTGTGGTCTCCACGTGGTTGCAGTTTGGGCTTTTAAATGAGGTCCCTTGGGGGACAGGTGCCCAAGCAGAGATCTGGGGGCATGGTGTCCTACCCACACGGGGATGGGGGCCACCAGCAGAAGGGTCGGTCCCTGTCCCTGTGTGTGTTCAGCTCCTGGGCTCCGCAGGGCCCCTCGTCCCTGCTGGGTGCCACACGGGCACGTGGCACAGAGGGGACCAGAGCCAGCACCGGGCTCTGCCTCTCGTTAGAGAGCTTCTGGATTGAATTAATTGCTCTGCCCGTTGCCATGGCACCGGGGCCATGCAGGGAGGCAGCGCTGGCAGGGCAGGGACCGCGGTCCCCGTGGCTGCTGGAACACGGAGCCGCTGCATCGCTCTTCCCGCGGGATGCTCTGAGGCAGCCGTGCTCATCCACAGCAAATCCCATCTCAGGGTCACACCGCAGAGCGAGGCCAGCACGTGGCGAGCCGGTGACCGCGCGCGTCCGGCTTCGTGCGTAGAAATGGCAGGAGGCACACCGCAAGTCCCGGGGTGCTCCTTCCTCCCCGGTGGGACACGCTGCCCTGGTGGCAGCAAGGGACAGAGCGCAGGTGCCCGAGGCTGCTGTGGCAGCGGCGATGCTCTGAGCTTTGTCTCACCTCGTGCGAGGCTGAATCCAGCGCTCATCGACTCCGCGAGAGCTGAAGCGGCAAAATGAGCATCAGCGCCTTGCCTCCTCCGTGGCGTGTGATTTATTGCCGGCGTGCCGGCTCCCCGCGCGGGAGGCAGTTTGGTGACAGATCGCCTCTTAATTTGGAGCTGAGCAAGCTGTCGGCGTGCTCCCGGAGCCAGGGACTGTGAAATTCAACATCAGCCAGCTCCAAATCCAGAGCCCCGCTCCCAGAGATGGGGACACGTGGTGGGCGGCTGTCCCTGCCCTGCGGTGCCACGGCTGGTGACTTGCTGTCCTCTGTCCCCTCCCACAGCAGTAACTGTGACCTGGACTACGATCTCTACAGGGACGACTTCCCGTACCGGTGAGCTTGGGGGCCCCAGGAAGGCAGCCCCAGCACCCTGGCAGAGGCTGCGCTGCCCTCAAGCAGCACCCGTGCCGGGGCTGTGCCAGTTATTGGGGTGGGGGCAGCGTTTTTACGCTCACGCTGCTTTTTTTGTGCCCTCGCAGGGTGTACGAGTACCAGAAGATCCCACCCCTCATTAACCGCATCCCCGTCAAGGCCAGGAGAACTCACGCAGGAGCAGGAGGCAAAAGCAGCCCGAGCCCCCAGCCCGGGGCACGGAGCAGCAGCAGCAGCTCCACGGGGACACGGACAAAACGTGAGCGGGACGGGGCGGCTGGGCTGGAGGGGCTGGGTCCTGCGGGAGGCAACGAGCCGGGGAGCCTGGCTGTGTGCACCTCGGGGCGTTGCAGCAGTGCCTGTGCCCACACCTCTTGCTCGGTGCTGACCTCGTTGCTACGAGGTGTGGGGTGGGATCCCGACAGCTCCTCTCGCCCGCAGTGCGAGCCGAGGAGCTGCACTCCATCAAGGGGGAGCTGAGCCAGATCAAGGCGCAGGTGGACAGCCTGCTGGAGAGCCTGGAGCGCATGGACCAGCGGAGAGAGCGGCTCTCGGGTGAGGGATGCTGCCTGCCCCGGACTCTGCCGAGTCCAAACCCCGCTGAGACGTTCCCCGCACCGGTCCCCTCCCCTCGTCCCCTTTGGTGCCATGGGGCTTTGCCCCCTGCCCTGTGAGCACGGGGCTGGTGCTCTGCACGGGCACACCGAGCTCCTGCTGTCCCTGTCCCCGCAGGGTGCAAGGAGAGCGAGAAGAAGAGGGCGGAGGCGGGCGCAGCGTCACCGTCCCCAGTGGGAGAGGGCTCCCGGGGCAAGGAGGGGACAGGAGGGGACGGGCACCTGCGTGCCATCGACAGCGCGGAGGAGAGCACGGACACAGAGGAGACGGTAGGGCAGGGGCCAGCTGCCTTCCCCCAGCTCCCTGCTTTGCCAAAAACGGGTCCTGGTGGGCTCTGGAAGGGACGCTCCGTGCTCCCCGGGGTGCACCCCAAGACCCTGCTCTGTTTTTCTCCTTGCAGATGAAAACGCACATCTCGGACCCCGAGGGGAGCCACTAGATGGACTGGGCATGCTGGAGCCTTCCCGGCGTGCCAGCAGCTCCTGTCTTGTGCCCGTCTTTCTTTCGAGGCTTCCAGCTCGTGCCACGCTGGTGCCAGGTGCCCGCTCCCGGCACTCGCATCCCCTGCCATGGTGCCAGCAGCCCCGTGTCCCACCCTGGCCAGCCACGGTGAGAGAAGTCTGTGTTTGAGTGCGCTTTGGGTTTGTTTTTTTTGTTTTTGTTTTTTGTTCCTCCTGTTTTCCACCTGGGGATAAGTACACGGGGAGGGCAGAAGGGCCACATCCCGAAGGAGCAGCAGCCTGGAGCAGAAATCCACGGTGTCCTCCCTCCTTGGATAAAGTGCCCCGTGCACACCGGTCACATCCCAAACCCTTGCCCCCAGCTGGTGGTGCTGGAGGTGACCGCCCTAAAGCGGAGCCAGAGGGGCTCTCAGCAAAGGACAAATCCCCAGCCCCATGCCACCAGCACCATGGCACAGGGCCCGGGGGCTCCCAGTTGCCCGTGGATTTTCCTCACCGGTTCCCTCACGTCTCCCACCCTGCTCCTGGGGGCAGGACGGAGCCTCTGCCCCGGGAATTCACACCCCCAGCCCCACTCCCCCCGTCCCGCAGAGCCGTGCCACGTGTCCGTGTCCCTCGTTTCTAGGTCGTCCTTCTTGCTGGTAGGAAGTTGTTCTGTATCTCTAATTTGCTCTGGTAAAAGAGTGTCTTGTGTTGGAAAGGAAAAATAATAAAATTTGTATTTCTTTTCTCTGGTTATTTGACTCCGAGGTGGGATTTTACCACTCTAGGTGTGTCTGAGAGCTGCTGCAGCTCACGCTGGGGTCGGGCACTTCGGGTAAGCAGCCAGCACCGCGCGCAGCGTGCCCCAAACCAGCTGCTGGGCTGAGGAAAGCCCCAGCAGAACCCGACCCTGGCTCCAGCTCCTTTTCCCCCCAAACCAGGTCAGGGTTTGCAGGGAAGAGGGCCCCAGCAGACTCAGGCAGGCAGAAGACTCACCAGGAAAGCCTAATTTATTGTAAAAAACAACAGAAACCAAAACACAATGTCTCTGCCACCCTGGAGCACAACAGGCAGGAGTCACGGAGGTCCAAAGTCTGTGATGGGACACAGCAGTTGTGGTGGGGACGTCGCAGTGGGGAGTTTGTGGTGCCAAGGCTTGTGGTGGTGGGGCTCAGCTGCCTGGGGGGACTCCAGCGTCCCACGGGGTGGCTTGGGGAGTCTCGGGTGGCACCAAGGATGGCTCAGGGAGCCCCTAGAATTGTCCAGCAGCACCGGGGCGTCTCTGGTGGTGTGAGGGGTGGCTCCAGGGGTCTCCAGCAGTGCCGAGAGCTGCTCCGGGGGTCTCTGGCAGCACAAAGGGTGGCTCCACGGGTCTCCGGTGGCGTGGGTGGCAGCGTGGGCAGGTCCCGGGGCTCTCCGCAGGCACCAGGGGGGGCTCCGGGCATCTCCGGAGATTCGTGGGGTGACTCAGGGTGGCTTGGGGACCCTCCACCGAGGGCTCCCTCAGGCACTGTGCGCCATATCCCTGCGCTTCACCGCCCGCAGCAAGCTCTGCCTCAGCACAGGGTACAGCCGGTGGCATCCATCCAGACCGAGCCTCAACGCCTCCCCCCAGCTCTCGGGATCCCCTCCGCGGCCTCCGCCGAGCACCGCCGACACCTGGTTGAGCGCGGGCAGCAGCGCCAGCGTCAAGCGGGCAGCGGCTCTGCGCTCCTCGGCCTCACCGGGCTGCAGCAGCCAAGCTCCGGAGGGGTGCCCGGGGTCCCGGCAGAGCGCGCAGCCCACGGCCAGGTCGTACATCTCCACCCCGGCATCTGCCAAGGCCAGGGAAGCGGCGCTGATGGCAGCAGCCAGCGCGGAGCCTCCGTCCTGCAGCAGCAGGGCGCTGACAGTCAGGCGTGCCCGTGGGTACCGAGCCAGGCGCACCGCCGGCTCCAGCGCCTCCCGCAGCGCCGCCGCCGCCTCCCGTTCCGCCTCCCGTTCCGCAGCACCCCCGGGTCTCGGCCTGGCTCCCCGGCTGCTGAAAGGGGCTCGGCGGAACTCGCACACCAGCCTTCCCCCTCCTCCTCCTCCTCCTCCTCCTCCTGTCGTTCCCCCCACCCGGCTCGGCCGCCTCCCTGGGTCCCCAAGCGGCGCACAGCACCTTGGTGCCGCCGCTCAGCTCCACGTAGGCCGAGCCCTCGGCTTGGCTCAGCAGCCCGGCGCGGGCGAAAAGAGGGCGCAGGGCGCAAGGGTCCCGCGGCCCCGACCCTTCTGCTTCTCCTTCTCCTCCTTCCCCGGCCCCCTCCTCGTCCTCCTCGGCCGCCCACAGCGCCGGCGGCTGGGACTCGTCGGGGCCCTGCAGGCGGCGGTGATCCAGCGGCATGGTTACAGCAGGAGGAGGAAGAGGAGGAGGAAGAGGAGGAGCGCTATCGCTCCGCCCCAGCCCGCCCCGCAAGCAGCAGCAGCAGCAGCCGGAGGGCAGCGGTGTTTATTGGCAGCTCCAAGGGGCACATGGGGCACAGCAGCAGCCACGGGGGGATTCCAGGGGGGTTTCAGGGGGTTCCGTCAGTTTTTCAGCTCGCCCAAGTGGAGCCTGGCAAAGTCCGTGGCCAGCCGGAGAGCCTCGGGCAGGCAGCCCACGTTCTTGCCCGTTGCCTGTGCAGAGACGTCCTTGCCGCCGCCTTTACCGTCCATCAAGCCCTGACACCTCCTGCACCCACTGGCTGGCCTTCAGGCCCTTCTTCACCGTCTCCTGGAGAGGAAAAGAAGGCAAAAAGGAGGTTGACGGCGAGCAGGAGCAGGGCACAGCAGGACAGAGCTCCTGGAGGAGAGCATATGGCCCCATGCCTACAGCCACATCAAGTCACAGCTCTCCCCCTTCCCCTTCTGCTCCACAAACAGGACCCGCTGCCTCTCCCCCCCTGCTGCAGCCCCCTGACAACACAAGGCTGTGGCTCTTGCCCCCCTGAATGATTTTTGGCCTTGTAGCATCAGCTGCAGATCCTCCACTGAGGCTCAGGGAAAGGCACAGACACACACAGACCCTCGGAGTTACCTGGGGTACTTGGCACAGGCAGGTGATTCTGCCGGCTTCATTATCTACAGCGAAGAGCATGGTGGCAGTCTGGGGGGAATGAGTCTTGAAGAGCTTCAGCGATTCGTTCAGGGCCTGGAGGAGGACAAAGTCACAGTGGGACACCTTCCTCGGGGCTTGCAACCAGCCTCGCTCCAAACCCCGCAGTGCCAGGCAGCCACCAGGGCCCCACTGAGACTTCGGGGACCTGGACGTGCATTAAAACAACCAGCAGCATCCTGCAGTGCCCATTCTCCAAAGTCAGCTGGCTGTCCCCTCACAGCTGCAGGGAGCTTGCAGAATTCAGTGGCTGTGCAGCCCCAAAGCAAGCAGCCCTGTGTTTTGCATAAGTGTAATGGTAGAAAATGGGGAAAATGCTCTGCTCTGGTGTGATGAGAGCTCCCAGCAGGAAGGAGGAAATGTTCTGCAATGATCAGGGACTCAACCACAGCGTAAAGAAGCTGCAAGGGATCAGACCCATCCCAAAGGTTTCCCCGTCAGATTGCCACACCACATTCGCACCCACTGTGGCGAGGGCCTCGCAAACAAAGCAGATTTTGACTCCCACACAGCTGCAAGCAGCAGCGCCAGTGTCGTGGAGATAGCAATGGAAAAGGCAGGCAGGAGTCTGTGAGCAGCACCAGCTCTGAGGCTCCCAAAGTGGAAATTTAAATAGGGCATTAAAAGTTGGCTGTTCCAGCCTCGCAGCACGATCAGCCCCCGCTGCATGGCACTTGCGAGGAACAGCGGTGCAACAGAGCAGCACACAAGGGAGCTTTTATTCACAACAGAAAGAAATTTAACTTGTGCTAAGGGGGAAGGGGCGGCTTCAGCCCTGGCTGGATTAGAACAGGAACCCTGCTGCAGAGGATGCAATGCCCTGGAGCTGGGGAGCAGCTCCATGATCTGGCCCTGTCCACACTCAGCCCAGAACAATTTCCAGAGCTGATCTTGAAGCCTACATTTTTGTGTCAGGACTCCTTTTGGATGAGTCTTACCTGGAACCCGATGCAATTTCCACAGGGGTCCCTATCCTCACCAGGTCTGGAAGCTCAGCAAATGGTTAAAACCTCCTCAACCCTTTAAACCCCTTTGTAAACCCAGTGGGACGCAGGGAATACTGCGGAAGTCCTGCCCCTCTTCATTACCACTGCTCAGGGCTGGCAGGAGGCGACACCTCTGTCTCCCCAAGCAAACAGAGAGCACCCAGCTGCTCCTCAGGCACACGGGAGGTTGCTGAGGTGGGATCAGACTTCCCCGTACCTTTGCTGAGGCTCCGTTTTCCATCTCCATGATGACCAGTGGCTGGTTAGGGTGACTCTCAATGACTTGCTTGGTCTTCTCCAGCACCTGAGGACAGCAGTGTTCAGACACCCACACGTCACAGAGGGACACAGGAACCACCCAGGGTGCCCCAACGCACCCGTGGCCAAGCCCGGAGCAGCCCCACGCTGCAGCCCCACGAACAAAATATGCTCAAAGGTGCATGTGTGTTCTGCGAGGCGGTAGCAGCGCTGTGCGTGGTTCCTCCTCCAGGAAAATCCAACGGGATCCAGAGGAAGAACCACACACCACCCTTACCCTGCACCCAGGCGCAGGGACACCACAGCTACGGCAGAAGCACCCCATCTTCCACGGTAGCAGGCATGGGGGCAGCCACAGCTCAGCTCCCTTGCACGCTGGGCACAGTCGGAGCTCCCAGAAGAGCTGCCCATCAGTGCCCCCCACGCTGCCCTTTATTCCCACCCAGGGCTCACTCGTTTCTGGATGTCAGCTTTGCTTGCACGGTCCAGGTCATCCATAACTTTCTTCAGTGCCTTAACAGCCTCTCTGAGTTCATCCTTCTGCCACTGCGGGATCACAGCAGTGGCCAGTGTCTGCAAAACAGGCAGGGGGGGAGGGTTAAAGGGACAGGTGACGGTGGCAGGAGGCAGGGCACGCTGCACAGCACTCATAAACCTCTAGGGCCTTGTCTGGCAGAGCCTGATACTCTCCCCTCTCCCATTTTCTGACAAGGCTGCAGCTCCCACAGGACGCAGGGCTGGGACCTCTCTTGAGTTTGCGTCCTACAGGGTGCTGGCATAAGATTTCAGTTCACCCCCAATTAAACCCTTGAGACTAATTGAGACGAGGTGACCCCAGGGGAGACGGAGGAGCAGGAAGCTGAACTTGGGCCTCATTAATGCCACCCGGTGCTGGCAACCAAGGTCCCAGCACTGCTGCCACCCTCACCTCGCTGAGGTCCGTGATCTCCTTCTGCACATCCTTGTTGGGTGCTGTCTGCACCTTCACCTTGGCGTCCAGGGCTGACAGCAGTTTCTTGAGGCTGTCCACCTTCCTGAGGGCCTAGCAGAATACATTTTGAGTTGTATCACGCAGGGAGAGCTTCCAGGCTGGGCTCCTGGCCATCCCCGTGAGAAGGGTCAGGAAGGCTGCAGCCCCAGGCATGGAGCTCAGTAACTCCTAGGGAAGTAGCAGAGCCATCCAGAGCCAGGGTGTGATGCTGGTCGGACTCTTTGCCAGAAAAAATGCCAAAATCCTCCCAAAAAGAGGAGAGCAGCTCCCTCACCAGCCCCCTTCTCCCACTCTAGGCAGCACCAACCCAAGCCACCTGCCTCTGCAGCAGAGGACAGCACAAACATCATACTGCCCAGACTTCCCTCCCACCACCATCTCTCTTTGTGCTGTGTTGGCAGAGCCCAAGCCATGAGTCCCTCAGGTTCTGCTGAGCATCCCAGCAGGGATACTGGGCAAATTTTAATGAAATTAACCTTGGCAAAGGGTTAATACGTGTGCATGCACGTGCCAGTGGTTTCCTGCAGGGCTTGAATCTCACAGATGACTCCCGTCTCCTCTTACCTTCCGAGCTTCAGCTCCAGTGACTGCCACTATCCTCCGGATGCCTTTAGCAATCGCTTCTTCTGAAACAATCACAAAGTGGCCAGCGTGGCCGGAGTTCTGCAAGTGCCTTTGGAAAGAACCCAGAAACAAACCCATAACAAGGGAAAGTTACAAGTCCACCTCTCATCTCAGCAGGATTCAGCAGGGAAAGCAGAAAACCACCCTGCCAGGGAGGCACAGCCAGGGACAGACAGAAAACCCAACCTAGCCACCAAAAGCAGAGCAGCGAGGGGAGGGTGGCAAGGCCCAGCACTGCCAGAGACTCTGCATGTGAGCAGGGACAGCATGCAGGCAGCTTCCCTACACCTCAACAGCCCCCAGGAGCCCAGGATCCACAGGGGCTCCTTTTCACCCTCCCCACTGCCTTCTCCAGCCTCTCCTGATACTCACGTCCCTCCGCAGAACTCGATGGAAGTGATGGAGCCCGCAGGGCCAGAGGGGTCGGCCAGCAGCTCCTCCACAGGGATGCCAATCGAGACCACGCGGACAGGGTCGGGGTAGGTCTCATCAAAAACTGCCCGCAGTCCCTGGATAGCTTTGGCTGCTGCAAGAGGGCAGTCCTTGGCGTAGACAGTCTGCAGAGCACAGGAAAGGGGTGCAGGTGAGAGCTGGTCCTGTGAGCTGTGACTGAGGGGCTGCATTTCCAGGATACCCTGACTTTCTCTGAAAGATCTTAAGAGGGAAGTTACATGCCTCACCTGACCTGGGGTTTGTGGAGCTGCAGGGATCCCAAGATAATTGATAAACCTTCGAAGTCCCTGATGCCTGTGCCTGCTCAGACCCCCTGTGCTGCTGTACATTCAAATGGTTTCTAACCATGAACTCCTGAGCAGGACACGAGGTCCTCCTAGGGTCTGATCTGGCACAGGGCTGGCTCTATATAGAGCAACTCTCTTGTCTTTGAGGATGCATCACTACTCTGCTAAACTCCTCGGCTTTTGCAGACAATATGGCACTAGAGCAGGCAAGGAACCGCTCCAACCCTGCAGAGGGCTCGGTAGCAATGAACAGATCAATGTACACGGAGGTTTCCCACTCAAAATCCTCTGAGGTGATGCAAATCTATGCACAATACTGGGTCAGCAGCTCCTAAAACACCTACTGGGCCAAACTTCCAGTATCCCAGACCATCCAAAAACTTGACTGAAGTTATTTTTTTCCTGAGTATACCTCTACCAGCCAAACCCAAGGATCAAAGAGAGAGCTGGACCCTGTATGAGGAGTCAGTGGGAAAAGGTGGACAAGACATAATTTTCCTCTCTGCCCTGACACTCTGGGGAAACAGCAATGTGACAAACATTGAACTGCACTGACCAACAGTACAACGCACAACTCAGTCCCAGGGAGGGGAGCACGGTGAAGGAATGAGATTCGAACCAGCCTCCTTCTGCAAGCTGGTGCCTCAGCTGTCCGCTGAGCCCAGCCCAAACCCTGCAGCAAGC